TTTATGGGGAACTTTCCCCATCATCATATTTTATAATTTGAAATTATTTCACCGTTTTGCCTCTGCAAAGTTTAAATAAGATAAGCTTCAGTTTTTATTTCTCCCTTTTTCGGTGACCTAAGCTTTAAGGCCCCAGTTAGGCTATGCCCCTATTTTGGATGTTATCGTCATATATTTTAGCATTGGTACACGTTTCTATTTTCAGCGCGAGTGCGTCTGAGGTTGTGGTTTATCTTGATGATATCTGTGTGTTCGATTCAACTCTATCTGGTTATTATGAGTTGTGGAACACGTAATGGTTATTATGAGTTGTGGAACACGTAATGGTTATTATGAGTTGTGGAACACGTAATGGTTATTATGAGTTGTGGAACGTTGGTTAACACGTAATGGTTATTATGGGTTGTGGAACACGTCATTACGACTTGCTGAACTCGTTATTGTGATTGTTCATGCAGTACTTTCTTCTACCCCTATTTATACATTTTTAACAGGAAAATCAACATCTTTCGGCTAATTTGGCAGCCATCTTGAAAAATTGTCGTCATCTTGAATTTTTCAGTTGACCAATTGGGTAGATTTGATAAGTATTGCTTGACTATAGCACAATTCCTCTAAAACAAATTACCCGCCTCACTAAATCCGGTAAAAAATCAAATTTGATATCGTTATCAACACATTTGTGCTTCAATTGTTTAAAGGATTATTAAAATAATTTGTTTTTAGTAATCAATTCAAAAAATGGTTATGAAATGACCTCGATTATCCGAAAATAATAATTTACATTTAAAATAAAATGCTGTATTTCACATTTTGATATTTTCAATTAATAGGGTGTTTAGATTAGATAGATTATATTTGAAAAATATTGAGTTTCAATTTTTGTCCTGACGCAGATTGAAACCGTGTTGATAATCCGCTTTTAACTGCTTCAAAAGAGTCCAAACGGTGACATTATTTCGAAACATAATTCATAAGATTTAGGTCACTTGAAAGATTAACATATTTCAATGACCACTGAATCTCTTTTATTGTTCTCTAGATTGCCCCAGAACTCACATCATATGCAACTGAAAGCTTAATCTCAGACATCAACCTTCGATCTTGGCGTACCTTTATCTCACACTATTGTACTGGCAAATTGGACTCTTGGTCATTTGCCAAGTAAATTTGACCTGTTTTATGAATCTATTCTATTTGTAGTCATAATGTAAGTACGATAAATGGGTTAAAGCATTGAGGCTAACCGCATTTTTTCGTCTTTCATTTACTTATTTTAAGGTTAGTATGATGGAGATGTTATTATGTTGTCACAATGTCAAATAGTCCGTAAGGACGTCATGTAATCTCGAACATTCTCTTGCCATGCGTATTGAAATTGTAAACCATGAATCACAGGACAAAATAAAAAATATATGAAATGAAAAATAAGTAAGATACCCTCCATTTATCATGAAATGAACGACAAAGCAATAAGGGAATAATAGTATTTTATTCGAACAGGTGTATGTTATTATTTGTGATCTATATTTTAAGTTGGTTAATGGTTGAAAAACCTTATGTCCATGTCCTACGATTATTATTAGACTTTTTGACAAGCTTTCGACAATTATCTAATATTTAGTACTTTAAAAGTAGTAATGTTTTTTTTTAAAATATTTATTGTTATACATCGTTGGAAAAAAGATTTCAAGCGTGATAGGGATCAGAAGAATTTTTATTAAAGAAAAAAATCGAAGTAAAAATCTTACAACAAAACTAAATGTATCGTTTAATAGATTTCCTCGAGAGCTACCAAATTGTTTGGGGCACAAGCAATTCACCAGTAAGGGTACAGGGGGTTGGGGCAAAATATGATTTTCATACGCTTTTGCCCCAAAATATATGTCAGAATGTGCCAAATGTATCCAATTTTCGAAAAAAAAATTAGGAGAAATTTTTCAGACGCTCCATGAGAGACTTGCGTCTCTGACGACTCCACAAAATTTGGATTCCGCCCAATACGTCAGTTTGCCCCCTATTTGTATCCATTGTCTCGGATGTCTGGCGCCGCCACTGGCCACAAGATCACAAAAGGTCACGGTATACGAGCCATCGGACTTTTGTACTACATTAATAGAAAAAAATATAGCAAAATCAAAATTCAGAAATCGTTTCCCAGTATTCCCAACAACATCAAAATTACATATTATATCGGTCATTTCAATATGACATTTGACATAAACACACCTCCATTGAGGTGTCGTTAGGGTCCAAAAAAGGTTTTGTGATTTTCTTCAACTACATACCTAGAGCTAGCCTATGATGCAAAATTTAAAATTTTCTACCGAGCCCTTTTCTAGAAATTCGTACATAAACAAAGAAGTAGGTGAATTTGGTCAATTTGGCGTGGTTGGCTATGGGGCGCTTGAAAAAAGTTGCAATTTCTGTCAGAAACAACAAGTTTTCATTGACATGGCTGTTAGTTGATGTCTAGAGATACAGGGCCCAACGGTATTCGGTCCCAGTGAGCTAAATAAAAAAAAAACACAACGGAAGTGTAACAATTTTTTTCTTCTTTTTTGTATTACCGTAGGTAAATTTGTAGTATCGTGTATTTTTTTTCTTTTTTGTTACAAGCAAAACATCATCTGAATTTTTAACAACATATCATAAACTTTAAAACAATTAGGGTTTTATTTCTTCTGATTCTTGTAAGATCATGAAATCCATGATGGCGTCGGCGCCGAACACAAAAAGCGATATTTTCGCTATTAAATGCGATACAATTACTATGAATTGTCTAAATATATATATCTTCAGGCCAAGAATCTAATGGAATCGTCAAATTTATGTAATGTTGATCTACATGCTAAATTCCAAAATGGCCACTGCGCATCTTAGATGTTTAAAGAGGAATATTCAAAATTTTACAGGCCCCGCGACTACAAACCTATTTTCATGCTTAGCTGATATTTTACTCAAACATGAAGCAGCTATTACTAGTGCTGGCACGGTGAATCGATGTATCGTGATACGACATGCCACGATACGAGTATCGTATCACGACGTCGTGTATCGAAACTTGACGATACCTTTTATTCCATAAAAAAGTTGAGATTTTTTATAAGTTGGGTTATGAAATTGTTAGAAACTTTTTATAAGACAGTGGACATTAACCACTTCTATCAACTATTTTACCAAATATCACAGTTATAAAGTTATAAATTAATATATATATAGAAACTTTGAAGATAAAATATTAATTTTTATCCCATTAACCCATATCGTGATATGTATCGTATAGTGACTCTTGTATCGCGATACGTATCGTATCATGCCATGATTGACCATGCCCAGCTATTACAGGTGTATACTGATAAAAGAAAAAACATATATATCAATCTATTCCTTAGAGCACAATGTTTCTTGCATTATCACATTAATCTTCAAATTTTATCTTGTGGGCGAATGGGCCTCCCTAGCTTGAAGGTTTTTCTTAGTTTCATCTTCTATGCTTTCAATAGGGAATAGTGGTTGTAACATTGCGTTGAAAAGTACATTACGAAAGCACAGGCACAGGACGTATAAGTTTATAGTTCTAGAAAATGGAACAAGATCGTGTGTTAATAAGTAATAACTTTCATATCTGTTGTTATCTCAATTGTGGATAATCTGAAATAGTATCCCTTTTTGAAATCATAGATTAGAGTCAATTGAAAAACATGTTATTCACAGTAAGACCAGCTAAATAAGATACTTATGTTGCAATGTTACAACCATTATTCCCATTCGCCCAGACCTATAGGATTGGATATTCATCATAATGCAGACATAGCACCCTTTGTTGTCCAGTTCAATACCACCAGTAATCAAGCAAGTAAGATACTTTCGGTTTCCTGTGGCTCCCTTCGTCAACCTACGCCTACATTTGGCCACACTCTGCCGAACAACGTGGGAAGATCGCTTGCGGTGAGAAACGGATCTTTGTCGTGTACCTACTCAAAATCGATCGCTCGAGGAACATCTGTGATTCGTAACCCCGCAATAATCCAGTGGTGGGACTCAATCTGGTCAAAAAGGGGGACGATTTGAGTCCATTCAAGACGACAATCGGGCCGATCAGAAAAATAAATCATCGGGGAAACTCTGGTTCAGATCGGGCCTATTGGTAAAAACAATTCTTGCTGAAATGGGGGTATAAGGTGGAAAAGGTGTTCTGAATAGTCAGTCGCTATTTACTTTGTTTTAGTTTTCATAGAATTCAGCTTTAATATATTTACGTCATTGTATGTCTATATTAGGTAATATAATTTTCATTGGTCCACGTGACCTTTTGTTGCTCCTCGTGTTAAATCGCCATATTCATTCAGAAGAGTCGCCTTCAACTTTCGCAGACATATTGATAATAATTTAAGGTCTAGAGACAAAACCCTTCAGGTACCTATTATATTTTATTTATAAATGTATTCAGCATATTATTATAGCCTAGTGTACATGTGTCAATGCGTTTTCTATGAGTATTTCCTGTTTAAAGTGTCAGAATTGTCTAGATCATAGTTTGCATTTCATAGACACAATTTTCCTGTCCGCTAAGATTTATTGTATATTTCCTAGTTATACAACGTATTTTCATAAGTCTCAATATATTGTCAGTTTCATATCTGTATTGTATTCAATATGTTAGGTAGGTAATAAGAGAATGGAACTTATAGAGCCAACTTGTGTGCGTTGATCAGTTAAGTGTAGTCTGTAGTCTTGCTAAACGAGGTTACGTGCCTTTAGTTGATATTGATTCTTATCAGTATAACTTTTCTCTTTTCAGAATAAAATTTTATTATTTCTGTAACATAATTCTGCTTGGAATAAAAGACATTACTGGAAGTTTGTCTTATCTAGAACCTTCTTCGCCCCCTAAGGATAGTCTGGAACATACAATTTTCTGAAGGGAATTCTGAGAGAATTTATTGTTTATGATTCCTGTTGACCAGTTATTTCCTGAGTAAGAAGAGAGAATCAATATGTCTGGTTCGGAGGAGACTGTGGCAGATGTCCATGCTGGTCCATCTATTGAAGTGGATGAAACGTCAGAGTTGGTAGATATCAAAAACAAAAGAAAGATTCTAAAAGGTCGAATAACACGAGCTATAAACCGTGTGAGAGAATCTTTGAGAAATAATGATACCAACATTAGAAGAATCAAAAGAGAACTGAGTGAAATTAAACAGGATTGTGAGACTGTGAGAACCTTAAATAATAGTCTTTACAATTTAGTTCTTTCTTCTGAGACAGTTAAACTTGATAAATGGGATGATGATTTACTTTCCACAATATTTGATGTGGAGGAAGAGATTGAAGATTACATTACTTCACTAAATAGACACAATCAGAGCATTCGTTCCCCATCTCCTGTTGTTGTGCCAAGAAACCAAGATTTGCTAGAAGCAAATGAGAATGACAATTTGTTGAATCCTACACCATCACATGTTCCCGTTAGTCCATCTATGGATGAGAGTCCCCCTAGTAATTTGTCAACTACATCAGAGATACATGTACAACCTGAGTTAAACCCCATTACCCATTCTACAGTATCCAGAGAAACATCTAGAAATGCTACTTCATCCTCACCTTCAAATAAACCATTTGACTCATGGATCGATGAGCTGAAAGAATACACTGAAACTGATCTGGTTAGTGAAACAAGAGACCTATCTATTGCTGAGGCTTTATTAAAATTAGAAGCTAGTCGTGACATTCCTTCTATTCAAATATCGAAATTCAACGGTGATCCATCTATGTATATTGAGTTTATGGAAAAGTTCAAAATTCACATTCATAATAAACCTCATTTAAAAGATGAAATGAGAATGATTCAACTAACTATGAGTCTAGAGGGAGAAGCAAGTCGTGTTATATCAGGTATGGGAAATCAAGGCATTATGTATGCAACTGCACTTAAAACTCTTAAAGAAGAATTTGGTCAAAAGAGTGTTATAGCTAGGACATTTATAAACAAACTGACAAAGTATTCAAAATTGGCGATTTCTGAGAGAAATAAATTAAGGGATTTTTCGATGGACATAATTAGTTGTATAGCTGCATTAAAAATGATATGTTATGAGGCTGATGTTAATGCTAGTGAAACTTTACGTTCTATTGTGAGACGTTTTCCGGATCCATGGATCACTTCATGGAACAATAGACTCCCTGACATCAGAGAGAAAGGAATCACACCTACAATTCGTCATATTAGTGACTTTGTTAGAAAAAAGGTTAGAAGTATTTTTGATCCTGATATTGGTGAAATCATCAAACCAGTGAAAAGTGACAATAATAGTAAACCCTATCCTTCACGTTCATCTAACTTTGGGAGATCAGTCAACTCTACTCAGAGAACTTTTGATTATAAATGTCCAGTGTGTGAATTAAATCACAGAGTATTTGAGTGTCCTACATTCAAGAATTTATCACATGATGAGAAGACAAAAAAGGTTGTCGAACTCAGACTTTGTTTTTCGTGTTTAAATAAAGGTCACATAACAAGAGATTGTCGTAATAAGAGACAATGTAATATTAATAACTGTACACGTCTGCATAATAAATTGCTACATACCGATCCAACCCCTGTATCAAGCACAATGTCAACTCTAGATAGAAATGGTATGTTACCTGTCCTTCAAGTTAAAATACGTTCACCCAATGGTCGATATCGTAATGGTAATATTTTCATAGACAGTGGAGCTACTGCAACACTTATACGGACACGATTTGCTAAAGATCTAGGTCTTCAAGGTCGTCCAGAGAAATTAGATTTAGCAGTAGTAGGTGGTAAATATATAGAGCAGAAATTAAGCAGACGATTAACTTTCTATGTGTCATCATTGGATGGTGGAGAAGAATTTAAAGTAGAAGCACATGAAATTGATTCAACTATCAACAAAGTGCCTCCAATTGATAAAGAATGGTTGAAATCCTTTGATCATTTAAGAGACATTGAATTTAATCATACATCTGGAGAAATAGACATCATTTTAGGTGTACAGTATAGCCACCTTCATGCTGAAGAAACATTGCGTCAAGGTTTACCCTTTGAACCTTTGGCAAAGAAGACCAAATTAGGTTGGTATGTTATAGGTCCTGAGAAAAACACTAAACAAACTCCTGTTTACTCTGTCAACTTAGTGAGCAAAGTTAACTTACAAACATTTTATGACTTTGAAACTTTAGGAGTCAAAGCTCCTGCTTGTAATTGTCCCATCACACCAATATCTTTAGAAGATAAACATACATTAAAGATCTTTGAAGAATCTTGTACATTGAAGGATGGTCGATATAGTATTGGACTCCCATGGAAAAGAGATCCAAGCGAATTACCTGACAGCTACCTGACAGCAGAGAAACGTTTAGCATCGCTCGAGAGACAACTACTAAAAGACCCAATTAAGGCTAAGTTATATGATGATGTGATTAATGATTATGAGAGAAATGGTTGGGCTTGTAAAGTGAATAAGGGAGATAACTACACATATCCTACTTACTATCTTCCACATCATGGAGTGTATAGACCTGATAAACTTAGTACTCCATTGAGAGTTGTGTATGATCCTGCCTGTATCATTAATGGTGTATCTTTGAACTCATTTTTGTGTAGAGGCCCCTGTCTAATAGGAGACCTTCTGAGTGTATTGATAAGGTTTCGAGAGAACAGAATAGCCTTTGCAGGGGACATTTCTAAAATGTTTTTACAAATATGGAAGAGAAAGACACTCATCTTCATCGTTTCCTGTGGCGTAATCTAGATTCATCAGTAGATCCAACTATATTTCGTCTGATGAGAGTTACATTTGGGGATAAATCCTCACCTGCAATGGCGAGTTATGTTATGCTTCATATTGCAGAACAAAACAAGGAAACATTTCCCTATGCAGCTTATATTCTTCAAAATGATCGTTATATGGACGACTTAATTCATTCTTGTGAAACTCAAGAAGAAGCTTTACAGAGTATCATGCAATTAGAAACAGTTTTAAAATCATCTGGTTTTAAAGTGAAAGAGTGGATTTGTTCGTCACAGAGTGTTGGTCAGAGACTCAATACAGAACATTCCGATTCCACAGTGTCTAAGAATATTCTACATGAAATATCATTTCCAGAGTTTGGAGTAAATGGAGAGAGTGGTAGTAACACAAAGACATTAGGCGTAGGATGGAATTCAGCATCTGACACTATTCATTTTTCTGTGAAAGATATAGACATCAAAACATTCACTAAGAGATCAGTACTTTCTAGAATTTCAATGTTTTATGACCCTTTGGGATTAGCTGCTGCAGTGACAATAAGAGCCAAAATTGCCATGCAAGAAATTTGGAGATTAAAATCATATGATTGGGATGATTTATTACCTGATTCATTGAGAGAAACATGGATTGACATTTTCAATGAGATCAAACAATTAGAAACTATAACCTTTCCTAGGTGTGTAAAACCCAACAATGCAGTTGGACTTCCAGAACTTCATGTATTTGGTGATGCCAGTATAAATGCCTATGGAGCTGTATCTTATCTATCATGGAATACAGACCAAGGAAGACAAACACGTTTAATGTCAGCCAAGGCAAGAGTTGCCCCCCTTCATCAAACCACAATTCCCAGGTTAGAGCTTATGGCATCTTTAATAGCATCCAGATTAGCAACAACTGTTTATACTGAGTTGAGAGTAAAACCTAGTAGAGTTATTATTTGGTCAGATTCGCAAGTGGTTCTTCATTGGTTGCGATCTGAGTCCGCTACATTAAAGGCATTCGTTGGAGTCAGAGTTGCTGAAATACAATCTACATGGGACATTTCCAGTTTCAAGTACATACCAAGTCGTCTTAATCCAGCTGATGATTTGAGTCGAGGTGTCCAAGTTAAAGATCTACATGGTAGATGGATGAGTGGTCCAACGTTTTTAAATTGTCCAGAATCTGAATGGCCTGTGGAAAGTTCAGAGTTAGATACTAATTTGAATTTAGAAGTTAAACCTGTTAAGATTTTGTGTCATGTGACAAAATCAGAACTATTTATTGACATTGCAAGATTTTCAAATTGGTCAAAATTAGTAAGAGTAACAGCATTTTGCTTACGTTTCGTGTCAAAATTACTTAAGAAGTCAAACATATCTGAGAGAGTTCTACAACCAGAAGAATTAGAGTCTGCTGAAAATTTGCTACTTCGTAATGCTCAGAAAGAATTTATATCAGATTTTGAGAATCGATTTCGAGACTTAACACCTTTTGTTATAAATGACATTGTTAGAGTAGGTGGCCGTTTAAGTAAATCTCGATTGGATTACGATGAAAAACACCCTGTACTTCTTACACCTGACTGTTACATTTCAAAACTTATTGTTCGTGAATATCATGATAAAAACAAACATTGTGGAGCCGAACGGACATTAAGTGATGTGAGAAGAAAATTTTGGATTATTCGCGGAAGATGTTTTGTGAAAGGGCTCATTAGAGACTGTGTAAATTGTCGGAAACTCCGTCAAAGTGTTCATCAAACTCTTATGGCTGATTTACCTGCTGATAGATTAAAACCTCATTCACCACCGTTCACAGTGACCAGGGTAGATTTGTTTGGTCTGTTTCATTTGAGAATATCCAGAAACAAGTGCACTAAAGCATGGGGAGTTATATTTTCATGTGGTACAACCAGAGCCATACATTTGGACATTGCTGAAAATCCTTCAACATCAGCTTTTCTTCATACTTTAAGGAGATTTGCAGCTCAACATGGGTGGCCCAGTGTTATTATATCAGATAATGGTTCAAATTTTGTTGGGGCCCAAAAAGAACTCAAACAGTTATTTGAAAATGGGAAATCTCAAATAGAAGATTTTGCAATGCTTCATAAAGTGTCGTGGAAGTTTAATACACCACTTAGTCCTCATCAAGGAGGAATGTTTGAAAGTCTAATCAAACAAGTGAAAAATGCTTTAAAAGTTTCGGTTGGAGAACAAACTTTATCTTGGAATGAGATGTCAACTGTATTTTCAGAAGTGAAGTGTTTAGTCAATAGTAGACCTATTACATTCTCATCCAGTGATCCAAATGACTTACAACCCATCACACCAAATCATTTTATTTTGGGTAGAGCTACAGCAGAAATTCCTCAAGGACCTTTTCAAGAAACAAAAAATTTGCATAAACGCTTTGAATTTGTTCAAACTATTGTAACTAGATTTTTTGATAGGTTAATCAAAGAGTATTTTCCTACATTAATGAGACGTGTCAAATGGCAATCTAAAGGTCGTCAATTACAAGTTAATGATATTGTATTATTAAGAGATTCTAATATTGCTCGTGGAAAATGGCAACTTGCACGCATAATTGAAGTATATCCTGGAACAGATGGCATAGTTCGTAATGTTAAAGTTCGCACTAAGTCTAATGAGTATAAAAGATCTATTCAAATGTGTTGTCCAATATTAGAAGTGTCAAATTTGTAAACTTTGTAATAGTATGTTTAGTTAATTAAGTTTATATGTATGTTAAAATATGTACTCCGTCACTCCTTGGCCCCTTGGAGGATTGTTCTGAATAGTCAGTCGCTATTTACTTTGTTTTAGTTTTCATAGAATTCAGCTTTAATATATTTACGTCATTGTATGTCTATATTAGGTAATATAATTTTCATTGGTCCACGTGACCTTTTGTTGCTCCTCGTGTTAAATCGCCATATTCATTCAGAAGAGTCGCCTTCAACTTTCGCAGACATATTGATAATAATTTAAGGTCTAGAGACAAAACCCTTCAGGTACCTATTATATTTTATTTATAAATGTATTCAGCATATTATTATAGCCTAGTGTACATGTGTCAATGCGTTTGCTATGAGTATTTCCTGTTTAAAGTGTCAGAATTGTCTAGATCATAGTTTGCATTTCATAGACACAATTTTCCTGTCCGCTAAGATTTATTGTATATTTCCTAGTTATACAACGTATTTTCATAAGTCTCAATATATTGTCAGTTTCATATCTGTATTGTATTCAATATGTTAGGTAGGTAATAAGAGAATGGAACTTATAGAGCCAACTTGTGTGCGTTGATCAGTTAAGTGTAGTCTGTAGTCTTGCTAAACGAGGTTACGTGCATTTAGTTGATATTGATTCTTATCAGTATAACTTTTCTCTTTTCAGAATAAAATTTTATTATTTCTGTAACATAATTCTGCTTGGAATAAAAGACATTACTGGAAGTTTGTCTTATCTAGAACCTTCTTCGCCCCCTAAGGATAGTCTGGAACAAAAGGTATACTACGTCTTAGAATGAAAATAAAATTTAAGAATTTTAAACTTGGCCATAAGAGCATATATTCATCAGTAGATTTACCTGGTGTCATAAATAACATAACAGGATCCTTATATAATCGGATATACTCATATTGACCATTCTTGAGAAATTAAATTTTATGTTCGTTGTATACCTAACAGAAGATTTTTAAAACGGTATCATAATTATGACAAAAGGATAAGTATTAACTGTAGTAGGTGTTATTACTTTCATTTTGATATTTATTTCGCAGTGGGCGAGGGGTATTAAACAAAAACTTATGTTACCAACCCGACACTGCGACAGTGGGTTTTAATACTAGGCTGATTTGAGTGTAGAGTTGCTTATGTTTTACATTATAGATTAAAAATTTTGACCTATTGGTAATACAGGTGGCATATTTTGGTAGATGTGGACAAATTTCAATGACATGTACTGGGCTGGGCCAGTTTCTTATCTGAGAAATCACATGTTGTTCGTTTCTTTATAATAAGGTTTTTTCTTACGAAACATTGCCATTGACCGACCAAGAACATTAGATTAGTTGGAAAACCTTGGACAAAATCACATCCATAAGATCTCGTGTACTTTAAAAGTGTTATTTAAAAGAAGCATCATACGTTTAAGGAAAAATAAATTAGCCGATTTGATCATTATATTACCTAGAGGTGTTTTGAAGTATATTAAAGGACCTCTCACTTACAGGTGTAACAGAATGTTCAAAATAGTTCATATATTGTTGGCTGGTTTACTCCTCTGGACCACAACTTTAGCTGATGTTGGAAGTGACAGTGGTGCCAAGTACATCAAGAAAGAATACAGCCAACTGGAAAAAGCTAGATTACTCGGACAAGCTCTATTAGACAACGATCATCTATTTAGACAATTAGAAGCTATATATTTTGCTTATAGCGATTTTAAAAAGACCCTACCACCAAGTCAAGCTAATGGTGTATTCGGTGAAATAGTTCTTGGTATGCTTCCAAAAATCTTACGTAGTCCCGGTTTACAAGATATTACTCATATCATCATTGATGAGGTTGGTATGGTTAGTACCTCTAAGGTGATGGAGATGGCTAAAGCGAATCATTGGCAGCTGAACAATCCTAACGTGACTAAAGCTTTTATGTACACCTACCAACAAAATCTCGACTATACGCGTCTTATCAAAAGAATAATGAAAGCATTGTTAACATTCAAACTCTGAAATGAAACTGTATTTTCTTTCCTTTTTGTATGTTCCTTGAAATAATGAAGCTTGGCAAAAAACACTTTTTCTATTTTACTTTTTCCTGAACTGATATTTTTATACGCTTACCAACTTATACGGTTTTAATAAAATTTTGCATGCATTTCGTATAATTATTTTAATCTAATGTTTTCCCTCGGGTGACCTATAACGTGGCTTATAGCGATCAGAATGTGGACGACACCCAAATTTATCATTTAGTCCTGGTGATTGTTCGCCTTGAGCCTTGTAACGCTGAGGTTCGTGCCTGGATGGCACACGATTTTCTATGGCTCAACGTTGACAAAACAGAAATTAAGCGCTTCTCCCACTGGGGGGTTGACCGACCATGTCAGTGTGTGTGTTTGTGGTTCAGAGATCCCCGTCTATTTCCAGGCCAGGAGTCTAGGTGTCATTTTAGACAGTGCTCTCCATGAAGTATCAGATATCTGCTGTGTCGTTCGATGGGATTTCACCTTCGCAGAATTGGTTTAATTCGTAAATACCTCACAAAGTTCACTACTGAACAGCTTGTTCACTCCATGGTTACCTCTAGATTAGATAAGCGTAATTTATTGTACTCCAGTACCAGTGGTAATCAAATAAAGCGTCCACAGCTTTTGCAAAATACTGCCGCGCGCATTGTCTCTAAACATATTACTCCTGTGCTTTATGATCTACATTGGTTACCGATAGAGTATCGGATTGAATACAACATTTTGCTGTTGACATTTAAATCAATACACGATCTTGCACAGTCATATTTGTCTTCCCTTATTCAGTGGCATTTGCCAGGCAAATCCCTACGTTCTATGGAACGATTTGAGTGCAAAAAGAAGGGTGTCAGGACCGGCGAAAAGTCCTTCGACAAAAGCGCTCCAGCTTTATGGAATTCATTACCAACAGCTATCAGAAAATGTTTTGAACTAGATTCTTCTAAAAAGAATCTCAAAACCCATCTTTTTGTGGTATTGTGCAATATTTTAATTTTTTTATACATTATCTGAATTTTCAATTTTCAAATTTTGTATCAAGCGCAATTGATAACTTGTTTTATTTTTATTTTGCCGTGGATAGTTACAATAAAAAAATATTATTATTAGTATCATTATATATAACCTAGCAATATAGCAATATGTCTTTTATCTATGACCCAATTATAGAAAGGTAAATAAATATTAGTTTAAGAGAGTCATACCCTTCATGATGATAACCTACATAATCGTTGTTAGGTTTTCAATGAGATTATATGGATTGTAAGACTCTAAATAATAAAAAGAATTGAGCCTCTATCTTAAAGAAAAAGAAAAGTATCAAGGTTTGCACAGTACGATACATGTTGTAATGTCTGTTATTTTTTAAAATTACTAGTTTTTAACCGAAGAACCTGTTTGTGTAAGGCTAACAATAAAACAATTACTTGGTACCAGTTGTCCAGGATTCTTTCTGCCAGACGGGCATCGTAAGCGTCGCCAATTTTTATTGTGAGTTGGAATCTTTCATTCAGTTCTTGTTAAGTGAGGTCTGTATTCTGAAAATGTATCGGTAGTTGCTAGCAGTCGAAAATACGTTTGCGCTCAGAATTTTGAAGTCATAAGGGTCACTTGTGCCAAGGTTTAATTTAAGACAATAACTTGATCAGCCTCCCCTAATAATAATAATAATAATAAGCATCACTTTATTAAGGTTTAAGGCCAAAATCCGGTATCGCATTTCGACAAACAAAATTAATCAATAACAAATATATATGCAATATAAAATTGATACGAAATGACATATATGATTATTCTTTATGCATTAACCTCCAGGCATATTCGTGTTAAAGATTTCTCGACAGTTGGAAACCGAAAAAACGAGCAGGCTAATGCCGCCCGTCTTCATTAGCCCACATGGTGCAGAAAAGTAGGACGTAAAACTCCATTCATTTCATTTCATTTTGTGGTCGCTAGCAACTAAATATTACAACATATTTCCAAGATAATAGACAATGTCGAACACATATCATTAAACCAGTATTGTGAAATATTTAGGACAAATTGTTAAAATCGCTGCGGTTTTCTGAACAGCTATCAAAAGTTATTCCGTTTTCTGCAAGTGAGGGTTGGGTATATGTGTTTAATTTTATAGCCTTCATATAATGATATATGTCAGAAAAAATCAATAGAAGTCCGGTAAGATACCACTTTTTATACGCCCACGTGAAATGGAAGGCGAATACTGTTCTCATACGTTGTAATATTAACATAAAGTGGCCTTATATGGGTATCGTTATCAAGGCTGATATTTGGTAGGCTACACAAAAAGTCATAAATTATAATAATATGATATTTTTGCTATTACAAGCGATACAGTTACATAAGAAATGTCTAAATATATATTTGTGAAGATTAGGAACCTAATGAAATCATTAAATTTATGATTTATGTATGATCTGCTTGCCAGAAATCAATCTTAATTGGCCTCCGCCCACCCGGACTGTTAACTATACCTTTGGTTTTAGAATAGATTACAAAACCATCAGGATACAAAAAAGTATCCAGGTATATAAAGACGATACTTTTCACAAAGATTACCTAATTAACAAGCCAACAAACGGATATTACTAAAAACTAAATGATTGCACTACGGGTTCAATATAACGTCTAATTTCTGAAATCTTTTAATCAGGAAGATGGAAAAAGTCGCACTTATTAAATGCCTGGCTTTCATTTCATTCAGTTAATACTGAAATATTATTTTTTGAATGTAATAGAAAGTAACACATCGATCTTCACAGTCTTCATTTATCCCTGGTTGAACAGTTTTGTTGTTCATACTGCTTCAGGAGCTGGTGGATTCAACAAGCAAACTGAAGAAGGGTTTCTTGAATCTGTATCAAATGGTTCCTGCTTGTGTTGCTGATAATTTAAGTGTCCAGGGTTTTGCTAATATGACCACTAGGTATGGGGGAGTGCGTCGGTGAACTGTTTACTTAGCTGCTACGTAATGAATGTTACTTCTACAGCTATGCCTTCCGATGCTTTAGAAGATGTTAGTTTTGATACCAAGTACAAGTACGACCGCGTTACAGAAGTTAAGAAGAGAGGGGACGATTACAGGAAATCTAGCATGGTGGGGGATAATGTCAAGAGATGAGAGGAGGAGAAGGATGATAAGAGGAAAGAGGATGATGTCAAGATGATTGGAGGTAGTGAGAAGTAGGAGGCTCGTGTGAGGGAGACGAGCGGAAGGGTAGTGCAGGGCCAGAAAAATACGAAGAGTTTATTTTTCAAATATATTTTTCATTGATGTTTTCATTTAGACCTTAAGGTTGATTTTTCAACAAAATACAATTAAACTATTTCCAAGGTGTTTTTTTTTTACATGGCTAGAATGGTTCGAATTTATAAACATAGTAAAATGAACAGTCCACGTGGTTATTACTCGTATCTATATTTGTTTGGGAAAATAGACTATAAGTTATCTAAGACACCTTTAATAAATAATAATAATGATATAAAAATATAATGATATAATAAATATATATGAATTATTGATTTATTATGATAATTTATTCTTGTCATATGATAATTGTTGAGTTGATTTTAACAAACAAAACCATTTCATAAAAGTTCATGTAGCCTAAGCCTTCAGAAAACCTGCCTGGAATGAAAAATTAATGTGGGTTAAAATACGACTATAGAACCTAACAACTTTTTCGTCCAATCAGCATTGTAATTTTTCATTTAGTGGTTCACTTAAAGGGATAGGCAGGCCATATTTTTTTATCAATTATACTTAAATCTCAGAAACTGGATTATTTTAGCTGAGCTAATCAGTAAATGTGTTCACAGCTCAGCGTTGAAATTTGAGCCTTCAACTCTATGTGTCAAGAATTATATGCGTTTGAATGTTAATATGACGACTTGTCAATTTAAGATACTCTGTGATATATAGAAAAGACATATATAGAAATAGTGAGTAAAATTCCTAGTTTGAAGTATTTTTTTTTTAAGGAATAATGTGATTTTGTACATTTCTAGTAATTCTGAAGACTATTAAAATATATTAAGACTAAAATTAACTCCCCAAAATGGCATACTTGTCTCTTTAATGCTTATTTTCAAATTAAACGGGCAAACTAGTTTACAGAAATCCATTTTCCAGTCCATTCCTAACAAGCTTCAATTTAATTAAAATTAGATCACAATTTCGGATCCTTTTTTTTTATATTTTTTATCTCCATTGTAATCTAACGAATTTTCTTCCACAGACCCGTTCTAATGACGCTGTCTTTAAATGGACTTTTGGTAGAAAACCTATTAGATTTCAATGAAGACTAAAAATATTAGAAAACGAAAACAGAAAAAAATGGAATCTAATTTTAATTAGATAGTGCAAGTGCCATCATGGTCGTAGTTTGAAATTACATGCTGTGATAGTATGATACCCAATGAAGTTTTTAGGTTGGCTGAAGTTGACTGGCGAATCCTTAAAATAGACATACTAGCAACTATGATCAACTGGACGGTGACCAGATTCTGACCGCTCGGGCCGACAAGGTCCAGATTCTACCATGGTCAAAGTTGATCTGAACACATCCTATATAGCATTACATTCTAACAAATTGTGTCAATATTGCAAATATCGTGATCTTAAAACAACATTGTTAGCTCAAAAAGAGTAATACAAACAGCTGAAATTGCTAGTGCAGATGACATCCAGGACAATAACTGGATAAAATTTAAAAGAAAAAAAAACTAAAAAAAGATATCCAAAAACATAAGCATTCTACCTTCCTAAAGTTAACGGAAAGGTTATAACTTTATTTGACGAGACTTGTTTATTCAACTTCTTCATAGTTTTATATCTCTGAAATCAATCAAATTAAGTGTATAGTCACATTATAAAATTAATCAACCGGAATGTAAAATACAAAAATCTAATTGAACTACGACTTTAGAACCTAACAGACCTTTTCATCAAATTAGAATTTTTTATAGAGTGGTTCACGTAAAGGGACAAGTAGGCTATTTTTTTCACCAATCATATTTAAGTCTCAAAAACTTTAATTTTTTTAGCTGAGCTAATCAGTAATAGTGTTCACAGCTCACCGTCGAAATTTAAGCTTTCAACTCCATGTGTGTCCAGAATTATCTGCGTTTGAATGTTAAAATGAGGACGCGTCAATTTAAGATACTCTGTGATATATAGAAAAGACATATGTATTTCAAAAGGAATTATGTGATTTTTGTACATTTCTAGTACTAATGAAGACTAATTATATATATTCAAAATGTCACACCTGTCCCTTTAATTGTTAAACATTTCCCAATCACGTAACATTTTGACTGGCAGCTAATGTTAGATGATTATAAGTAAGTTAAAAAAAGCAAAAATATTTGAGAGTAATGGTCTAAGGAATTCAATATTCTTGTAAAATCTTACCATAGAGGCCTTACAAATGAGGGCACTGGTTTCTTGATTAAATTGTGTAATATATGATTTATCTTTACTAACAGGAACGAATATCTCAGACTCGACATCATACATGTCAATATCTTCTCCTTTTCGTATATAAGTTTGACCTTTAAGTATAACAAAGCAAATTAGTTAAAATCTTAATTCAAATTAGTTTAAATCAGGTAAGAACGGACAGCATGTAAAAATTCATTTTGTACTTTTCTTTGTGAAAGTGCTTTCTTGCAGAGTAAGATTTAATACAATTTTGACAGCTGCTTACCATTATTAAAACTGGCAACGAAACATGTATTTTTAGAATTTTCCATCAGCATGCATTTCATAGACTTTGTATACACGATAATCTTGGGTGTTGTGGCTTTAACTAACTCAACAAACCTGAAAATAACAATTTGGGGAAATTAAACGTTAGTCCTCTTTACTAAGCTAATTAAATCCAAAAGACAGTGGAAATAAACAAAAAATAATTACCCAGTGGCGGAGCCAAAGTGGGGGTGGGGTGGGGTGGCAGTGGGGTTTAGGATCGCTGACTGACAGGGGAAAACAAGATTGAATTGACTTTTCTTTTCAAGCCTGCGTTCAAGAGAGAGTGAAACCCAGTCTAATTCAAATTACATCGGACTTTTAAAACGTTTCTATTAGCTTTTATTTTCAACTTAGCGAAGTTTGGTCTTTTATAATTGAATGAATACGAAAAACATTCAATGATAAAAATTGAACCTCGGAGCATTAGACTGGTGCACAAACGTCAACACGAACAGTAATTAATTATAATTCTTACTTTGTTGCTCGGTCATAATATTTATATAGTTTCTGTGGTAAAGCTTCTAAAGTATATGTTTTTCTTCTGACAGAGTATTCTGGTTCGATGATATCTGTATTGTATTGTGGTATCTCTCTACACTGTGTGTAGGTTATCTGGAAAATTAAATGATGTTATAACTTTAATTCAGACATTCATCTACAATACTTTGTTTATTCCATAAAAATTTCATTGTATCGCCGACCACTTTATACAATAGGACACGATCGGGGGTTACAAAAACCTAAATTGAGTACATTGTCCTACCTGCATTCCATTCTGTGAAATTTCAACTGATTCCGTCAATAAAATACCAGAGTTTCTTGATTTCGAATTTTCCAATCGCACGGTGCCTGATTCTGTTATTAAAAACTAAAAAATAAGAAATAATAGTGTAAATGTATGAGCCCAAAATTTTGAGGTACTTGAAATATCTGTCCGAAAACACATTTATTTTATGTCATTAGGCCCCAAATGCCAGGGCTAATGCCAGAAATCTATGCGGAATTATAAAGTAATCGAACAAACAGAAGAACCTCTTCAGTTTTGATCAATGAAGGATTAACAGAATATCAATATAGAGTTGAGCGATATGGGTATTTTTCTGTATCGCGTATATGAAATTTTTTATCTCGATATGTTCAAATATCGTGATATAGAAAATTTCCGGAAATGAACTCTTTATGATGTTATAAAGTATCTCGTTTATTGTTTCTGCTTAAAGGTATTTTAAAACTGGCGCATGAGACCAAAGCTCTAATGTAGGGTTATTCCTGATCCGACACAGTTATATTTTTCGTCTATTAAAACCTAGTGTTGCATTGCCGATGTTAGGCATATAATGTACGTTGTATCATTCTCTTATTAAACTCTAGCGTTTACAGAAGTATTGTAACAAAATGCCAAAAATAACTGAAATAAGGAATATATTGATGAGGTAGGTACACGGTTTCTTTTTTTTAGCTCAGCGCCAAAATCTCATGATATCGTCTGATATCGCTAAAATAACGTCATGATAATTATCGCAACGGTATACCGGTATAGGAAAAATGTGTTTTTCTCATACCGTTTTTTTAGATATTGTAATATCGCACAACTCTATATCAATATAGACCGAAACGTATGCCTGTATTCCAGCCTCTGCTAGCTATTTTGATAGTTGCTGATAAGTGTCAAAATATCTATCAGAGGCTGGAATAGAGGCAGATGTTTCGAACTACATTGTACACTAATATAGTTCACATAGAGAAAAAGACCATAAATTCGCGAATTTGATATTATTTAAACCAATGCCAATTTATCCAAAAATTGACCAATATAGACTTACCCGTGTATTTCCTACTCTTTCACTGCAGGGCTTTAAACGGTATGTATTTAATGGTAATGGTTTGTATCTTATTCGCTCTTCAGACACCAAATTGTTCCTGTAAAGTGAAAGGAAAATAAATATAGATGGTATAGTCGTTGGATAGTGCTGTAGACCATAGTAATACTAGAACGACTGATAATCAAAACAGGCAGAACTTGTATAGTGTTCTGTAATTCGCCGTTCGTGATGGTGGAAATTTAAAACAAGGATTGTACAATAAAGCTGACATTATCCTCCGCTCTAAAACAACATTAGGTACCTCTGGAGAATAAATATAGAGCACTACTGCTGCACCACAATTAAGTTGTCTGCAGACCTGTTTGCAGAGAATCAAGGGTTATGTATATTACTGTCTTGTGTAGCACAGGTGTGGGCACACGACCGGTCTTGTCGGAGACATTTGTCGCCGATTAGAGTCTTGTCTTGAGTTTCAACTACTGACACGGGCACCAGTCGTTTTCCACCTTGTAGATAATCACGTGCGGACATGCAATTGGAAGGAAAAGGAATCCGATTGGATGATGGCGGACTGTCTTGCAACTTGTTTGATAATATAAATCATGTCGTGGAAGCACGGGCACACGCTAGATTTTACTCAACATTCGTGTCGGAGACAAATATCTCCGACCAAAACCTCTTGTGTGTCAGCACCTTTAAGTGTTTTAATAATGGTTAATAAAATATATGCAAAAATACTATGTTATGTCAAATCTAGGTATTGTAGGCCTATGCCGAATCCACAAAACTAGTAACAGAGAGGTATTGGAAGAGATGAGTAAGAAAGTGTTAACAAAGGTTAGAGCTTGAACACATATAAAGACATAAAGCAACATTCTGAAAGGCAAAATCCTTAATATAACCAAAACAAAGGCATTCAAATTTCACAGATGAAATGAAAATGTGTTACCTTTCAATCCCCGCATTATCAGATGTAATGATCGATCTTGTAAGTAATTTCTTTATCATTTGAACACAATTTTTCGTGTCCAGTGTATTCGTCCTCAACAATCGCTGACTTTCTTCTCTTGCCATTTTAACGTACAATGTCGGTAAAATAGGGATGATTCGACACAAAATGTTCTCTTTTTAATATATAGCAAATCCTTTAATCCTGCTTGATTAAAGTGAAATTGTATCGTAGTTACTAATCTGACTTAATTAATTAGTAGCCGGCTTAATCCGTTTGACTTGAGACAGCATGATGATGACCAGAAGTTATTGAAATATTGTTTTGACATTAAAAAAAAACACAAACAAGTGAGGGTAGTTGTCAGAGAATGACAGTGATTATGTTTGCCCCTGGGTCCGTTTACATCTTAGTCAGGATCTGTTCACAATTATAAATCATAATTTTATAAGGTATACGAAATCTGGCGAAATTTATATTGGCAAACGTATTTTAGTGTAGATCCGGATTCTGAGAGAAGTGACACGACTAGCAATCAAGCAAGTAAGATAGGCATAGTCCATGCCCATTATGAGAGTCTGGTAGAAAAATTACCCCATGTATAAAAACAAAAGGTGATTGTTGCATATTTAAATAACTTAAATGGCACTCTTGTTTATAGCAAACAAAAGCCCATCAGTATGTAACAATCTAACCTCTCTTATTAATTGAACAGAAGAAAAATACCCAGCATGCTGTTCCAGATCGTTTATTCCATTTTCTTAATGAAGTATGAGTTCAAGTCGAGGCCTGTACATTTAGGAGAATCAAACCCTCCTTACCCTCAAATTGCAAGTGCAATATCTCATAACACCGGAACATCATTATCATATGTATCATCATTGACATATTATGCACTAGATTTAATTGGCAATCAATATTTGTATCATTACTGATAGACTAGATTTAAATATTATTATTATTATATGTATTATTATTGACCTCTATTATGGACTAGATAAAAACACTATTAATATCTGTATCATTACTGACCTATATAATGAACTAGATTAAAACACTATTACTATTTTCCCCGCATTGGAAATATTTTCACTGTATACCGTGAAATGCATCAATTGAGCTATTCAGATTTTCCTACCATTTTGAAAAAAAAACCTTGACCTCAAAGTGACAAATAACATGTGATGGCCCACCTAGTGACCAAGAAATTTGACAAATTTGACAAGTACAGCAGGCAATGTGTCTATTAAGGAGAAAAATAATCATAATCAGTTACTACCTGGAATTTTGATTTCATTTTAACACGCCCACATGGAATAGGGGTGTATATTGTCGTCACCCACGTCGGTCCGTCCGCCCATTTACTTTGCTCGTAAGCACTTTAGAAGTCACAATTCTTGATGGATTTTGACGAAACTTGTTATGAGTGTTTGTAATCAACCAAGGATGAACCCTATTGAAAATCAGAAAAATCGAAATATATTTAGTATGAGTTATTGCCCTTGTCGTTGAATTGCTCTTAAACACTTAAAAAAGCACAATTATTAACGGATTTTGACAAAACTTGGTGCGAGTGTTTGTAATCAACCAAGGATGATCCCTATTGAAAATCAGAAAAATCGAAAGATATTTAGTATGAGTTATTGCCCTTATTTTGAAAACGCGTTCGATTTTGCTTGTAAACACTCTGGAAGGCACAATTATTGACGGATTTTGGTGAAACGTGGTCTGAGTGTTTGTAATCACCCAAGGATGAACACTATTGAAAATCAGAAACATGGAATAATATTTAGTACGGTATAAGTTATTGCCCTTGTTCTTGAAAACGCATTCAATTTTTAGCTCGTAAACAGACTAGAAGACGCAATTCTTGGCAGATTTTGGTGAAGTGTTTGAATTCGCCAACATCAAAAATTTTTTTTCGTTGACGCCCAAGAAGGCACAATTCTCGACAGGTTGTAACGCAACTTAACGATATTGTTTATTATCGCCCATTGATGAACCCCATTGAAAATAAAAAAATGAGAACTATCATATATGAGTTATTGACCGCAATCTTGAAAGCGCATTAAATTTTTAGCTCGTATACTCAGTTCACACCAACGGCGCTTTGATGGCGCTTTAAAGCGGCGTACACAGCGGTACCAAAGCGTAACAAAGCTCGAAAGCGCCAGGGTCGTAATAGATCGTTGGAAAGCTTTGAGTAAAGCTGGATATTCGGCAAGAGCGCCAAAAAATTTTAAACTGTTTAAAAATTTTGGGCGCTCTGTCACGAATTGATTAAAGCGCCGAGAACGTATCAAAGCTTAACAAAGCGTAACAAAGTTCAGCAAAGCTTGACTCAAATCGTAGGAAAGCTTAACAGAGCTTTATTCAAAGCGGGGACCCCAGTTTTCACGGTCTGTCACCACTTGATCAAAAGCGGCATGAAATCGGCCATTTCGAAATTTTCCAATGCGTAACAGAGCTTAACAATGCATAACAGAGCTTGATAATCGTATCAGAGCGTGATTTAAAGCGTCATAACCGCATCAAAGCTTAATAAATGTGATTTAAAGCGTAACAAGGCCTGATCAAATCGGGAAATAATTCGTCCCCAAAGCGTAACCAATTCGTATCAGAGCTTATCAGAGCGTAACATTACTTAGGAGATCGTGATATTTTTTGAAAAGTAAACAAAAAATGATGGCGCTTTGCTCGCCGTTGGTGTGAACTAGGCATAAAAGGCACTTCCCGGATTTTGATAAAAACTTGGTAATAGTATTCATTATCGCCCAAAGGAGTTTAAAAGAAGTGTAGGATTGAAGGTTGAATATTTCATATCTCATACAAATTTAGTAAGTTTTGGTAGACATTTTACTAGCAGAACATAAATTTATGATCTTCAATTGATTCAAATAAATATGGAGCTGCAAAAGCATCATTTAGACAGTTAAATTATGTAAAAGTGTTGATTTTAAAATTAATTCTTTACTTTATGGGTAGCTAGTGCAAATTACGTAAGACTGGAGTTATGTGCTGAGAGATCTTGGTTCTGGAAACAATCCTGGCAGTCATATTTTGAACCTCCTGCCGTTAGTCTAAAAGATAATTTGGTCAATCCTAAAGTAAACAATTACAATAATCTATGCGGGTAATGACAAAATGGCAACAAGATTTAAATACCAGTAATATCTCTGTCATTACTGATCTCTGTAATAGACAAGATTTGAATACCATTAATATCTGTATCATTACTGACCTCTTTTATAGACGAGATTTGAATACCATTAATACCTGTATCATTACTGATCTCTTTAATAGACAAGATTTGAATACCATTAATATCTGTATCATTACTGATCTCTTTAATAGACAAGATTTGAATACCATTAATATCTGTATCATTACTAATCTCTTTAATAGACAAGATTTAAACGCAATCAATATCTGTATTATTACTGATTTCTATTATAAACTAGATTAATATAATCATTATCAATATCTGACATCTATTACAGATTAGATTTAAAGATCATTAATATTTGTATCGTTTCTGACCTTTATTATAGGCTGGATTAAAAGATAGAAAGATACTGACCTCTTTTATAGTCTAGATTTAAGCACCGTCAATATCTGTATCATTACTGATCTTTAGTATGGACTGGATTTAATGATCATCAATATCTGTATCATTACTGACCTTTATAATGGACTAGATTTAAAGATAGATCATTACTTACCTCTTTTATAGACAAGACTTAACCCCATCAATATTTGTATCATTACTGACCGTTATTATAGGTTAGATTACATCTATAGATTTAAAAATCCGCAGTATCTGTTCCATAACTGACCTTTACCATAGATTGATTTAAATATCACAAGTATCTTTATCATTATTTGTCTTACTTTAAATTAGGTCTAGACACCATCAATATCTGTATCGTAACCGACCTCTTCTGACTTTAACGCAAGGTGTCGAATCTGAACGACCAGACTCTTTTTCTGTGTCAGGCCCTCCGATCTGCATCATTGACGTGGGGAAACCAGATAGAAGAAACCAATGTTATGTCTCAATCTATTCTAGTAAGATATATAAGATTTATTGTATATATACGTTATATGTATATAGTTTCAAGAGAATGTCCGTGGGGAGAAATCCTAGATGGCATAAGTTCTGTCGTATCGCAAACCACGATCTGCGAGCTTTCTTTATTTCATCGTGATAAACTGCCTTAAAACTTGAATTGTTTTGGATTGTGATACCCAAATAAACGTAGGAGTCAACAGTCAAAATAGCATGTTCGTTCATTAAATAAAAAAAAAGTAGGCTTTTGGTTCATATTTTTGTTAGCAAAGATTAATATTTTTGTTTTTTCAATATTTACTTGGAGTTGCCAATCGGAACAGAAACGAGAAAGGTTGCCTAACTGAGATTGTAAAGTTTGTTTAGATGATGTCAATAGCACGGGGTCATCAGCAAACAAAAGATGTGTTAATTATCGATCATCCAATAAAGATGCCCCTGATGGTTGGAGGTATTTTTTTAAGTCATTAATATAAATATTTAACAACACCGGGTTCAGATTGCACCACTGTTTGAGGCCCTGTGTAGAAGTAATTCTACTTGATATATCACCATTGGTTTTAACCTGATAACTTGTCTTATGGTACATTGATTTTATTATATCAAAACAATGGCCGTCTATATTGTGATTCAAGAGTTTGGTAGAAAACGAAAAAGTCAAAAACGAATGACTCCAGCATTCCGGGAAATTTCCAGATTGTAAAATTAGATTAAAAATTTGTATATATTGATCAATGAGAATTTCAGACGAATTTTTTATCATTTCATTTAGAATGAGGTCAGGGTCGTTAGATTTATTATTTTTAAGAATTTTGACGGCTAATCGTAATTCCGAAGCGGAAATTGGTTTATTAATGTCACTATTTTTTGGCGGTAATATTGAACATTCATTTAGTCTTTTTTGAATTTTTGTCAAGTTTTCCCGGTTAATCTGAATATTTTGGGTAAATTGATTTGTAAAATGCTCTTCCCTTTGTTTAGTATCAATATTTGGAGATTTTTCCTTGCTTTATTTTTTATCTAGTAAATTGTTCACAAGCTTCCAATATTCTTTAGGGATTATTAGTTTCAAGTTCATCAATCTTCTTTATATTTCTTTTTACTTCCACTTAAATCTAGTTATCTTTTTATAGTCCTTTAACTCTGTGCATACTGCTGTAGCAAAACTTAATTTTGTGGGTTATTAGAGAGCAGCCAACTTGCTTTTTCAGATCGAAAAATAACCGCTTACAATCTTGGTCAAATCAACTATTTTTCTTTTTACGACGATTCTTTCCAGGTTTTATCAATTTTAAACTGGTTTTGGCGGCAGCTAAAAGTATATCATTGAATTCTTTAATTGCACTATCAACTCAATGTGGAGTATCGTTAAAGTCAGTTAAAAGAAATTTATTGGCTGATTTATTTATATTAAATTATTTCAAACGTTGACATTATTTATTGGTTGAAATAAAAAAAAAATGATTCTGCTAACATTTATTTTATTTTTCTAAGATCATAAAATGTAAAAAAAAAACATAAAAAATTAACAATTTGAATTAAAAATCGTCAACAACAAACAGAATGAAACCATGCAAGAAGAAAAACAACTATAGATGAAGTACAGGCTATATTCAAAACACGTAGCTCACACAAAGTATTTCCAATCACCCATCCTATATATTTTCTGTAGAAGTAATCCTTTTTGTTTTTTGAGTCAAAAATATCAATTACATAACATGTTATAAAATACAAATCAAAATATTACATTTTGCCTATATTTCAAAATCTGAAGATATTTATAGGAAGGATAAGTTCACAAATACTCCAATCAAATATTCAGTGAGGGCAAAAGTGAATAATCTTATATAAATTGAAACCAGCAAAATCACAATTCTACAGTCAAATAGCGTGATACAGGTGACACACCCAATGATTGAGTGCCATAAGGTGTTCCAGGAGTTTAGAGCTATCATTCTGGTGGAAAAATCTACTGTTTTCTTTTAGACTTATACTAAATATTATACAAAATCAGCATTTTATTCAGTAAGTTCAGTTTTTCTTATTCATTAATGTCAAATTTTTGTTCAATGTCAGTATATCATTTAGTAATGCCAAGTATTTTAATCAGTGTCAATATATATATCTTATAGTGTCAATTCTTATTCAGTCTCTAAATTTCATCTATGTTATTTATCTTATTGTTATAACTTACACAGTACCTATCAACAATTCATCATAGTGTTATTTCATATTCAGTGTCAACATTGTTTTCATTGTCAATAATTTATCCTAGAGTTATTTATTTTTCAGTGCCATTATTGTTATTGTAAACAACTCATCCCTGTCTTGTTCTTGTTCAGTGTCAACATTGTTACCATTGCCAACAATTATACTAGAGTTATTTCTCTTACAGTGCCAATATTATCTTAATAGTTAAGTTTATTCAATTTATACATAATATTCAACATCAAACATTTATCTTTGTGCTATTATTTATATAATTTAATTAATAATGTATTCTATTACACAATTTATGTATGGTTCTTACATGGAAGTAACACACACGAACGTAGTTCACAGCTATAATAGATTTATCTAATTAGCCTTTTAAAAATTTGACTTATGAAGTCCAGGTAGAGATTGAAAATGGTTGTGAACTGCGTTCACGTGTGTTATTTCCATTTAAGAACCATACGTAGTTTAGTATGAATTTATTTCATGACACAAACTATTGCTTTACATACTAGATGTATTCTTATATTGAATTTCAGGTACAGCTATTGGGTTGATAAACTGTCTATTTTAAACAAACAAAATGATAAATTGAATCAATTCTCAATAAATTAATAATCACTCACTGCACTCTCATACTAACATGTATCTTTATCTATATTAATTAAAGGTATATAGATATCTAAACATTTTCCTCCTGATGCAGGTCAATTTTTGCTGTTCATGATACTTTTCAGTACGAAAATCAATCTTCTGGTTCTGATGTTATTTCAGAAAATTATGCAGAAGTCATGACTGTAAATATCAACATATTAAGAGCTTTTCTTACCATAATTAGCACAGTTATGAACACATTTTCTAAGGAGCACAAAAACAGATGCTAATACATCTGTCATCACTTCTGCCCTTCCGTTTTTCTGAAAAACCTAATGTTGGATTTTTATTCGAAAAAACAGTTAAATTGACCTACATCAAAAAGAAAAAAAAAACAATTTAGATTGGTATATCCCTTTAATCAATTAAACAACCATGAATATGACCGTAAGAATATAATGATACATGAATTGAGTTTTCAGAATATAATGATACATGAATTGAGTTTTCAGAATATAATGATACATGAATAGGGTTTTCAGAATATAATGATACATGAATAAATATGACTGTTAGAATATAATGATACATGAATAAATATGACTGTTAGAATATCATGATACATGTCTAAAAATGACAGTAATAATATAATGATACATGAAAAAATATGACTGTTCGAATATAATAAAAGATGAATTTATATGACCTTAAAGATGGGTTCCCTTATTTTCATTTATATGAATAGAAAGTAGAGGTGTTCTAATAATTGCAAAAATACCAGTTTGTCTCATATATATAAGATCTATTGCAATAGTGACGTCATAAAACACATAGTTTAAGTGGAATTGCAAGAATCACAAATTGGATTGGTACAAATTTATGCTATCTGTGTCCCTTATACCTGTAAAATTTGCACAAAAGAAAGAAAAAAACAACTATATTTTACAAGCATCATTTCTACTAGCAAAACATCTCAGCATTGATCTTTCTCGGATTATCAGAACCCATTTATATGAATTATGAGTGAAGCTGAATTATTCACTTTCACATGCCAATCATGATAGTCAAATCTTCCATCATCATGTCTAGTTTCTTCTTTCCAGAATGCAGAACAAGTATTCCCAATTTACTCAAAGTTTTTTTTTTAATAATTCCAGGCATGAATCACAAGATTGTTTATAATGGCTGACAACTTTTGTTTTCTAGAAAAAAATAACTCTTTTGACATATAAAATGTTACCTAAAAAACTAAATATATTTACATAAGATTTTAAAATTTATAATAATTTTTTTCTAACTATTTCTGTACTAACTAAAATTCTACCTTAAAACAGTAAATAGTCATAGTCTCACATGAAATTTAAGTATGTGGGGTTTAAGCTTTATTTTAAGTCCTTAATTGTGAAAAAATGCCACGGTTAGCTGAATTTGAGCTTAATCATATGGTTGAGATAATATTTAGATGACTATATATTATATTCCTTTTGAAGATAAATGAAAATCTACAAAGAAAACTATGATGCACCATAAGAGAGGCACCAATTACCAATAACAGAAAAGTATATCTAGCACAATAAGATGAATAGATAAATGAATAATAATATACATATTTACATATGTACATATTATAACAATTGTAAATAGTAATTATAATTATGTACAGTAAGCTACATGTACATATTTACATGCTAAAAACAATTCAACTAAATACAAAAGAATGAACATTGTTGAGACCAAACAATCTGATGAAAATACAATTCTTTCATGTTTTGTGTCTGTAGACAACTCCACTGGCTGCCAATGATCTCATGAAATTTTTAAATATCTCAAGTTTAGAATCATATAATAATCAACCAATAAAATGCTGTGATCAATAAAAGATTTCCTTTCTACATTATATGTGAGTAAAAGCAAAACTATTGCTCACCATTCCAAATAATTCAATTAACTCAGGCCTTGCCCACTTGAAGAGGACACATAGCTCATGTTGTTTATTCGACATATTTATTTAGAAAACTTTAGAGCTTCTGGGCTAAATTCGACATAATATGATTTAAATAAGAATTTTGTCAGATAATGAACCAGATAAGAAACCTGCAAAAAATTGTATTGATAAAAAGACTTTCTTCAACATTTTTTAAATGCATTAAAAGGAATATTGTAGATTCAAATAGCTTCATAGGTTGAAACTATTTCCAATACAATCCCATCCTGCTATGTTTAGTAACACAATTCCCCCATACTTTTAAGTGCAATCTTAATAAGTGCAATATAAGGCATAATTTACACTTTTGGCATATTTAAGGCCACAGAGAATAAAGCATGAAATTTGGTATGATTGTGTCTGTTTGTTAGTTTAATGTCTAATGAAGTAGTATTGAGCAAGTCTATACTATACTCATGAAACATTGTTATCTCATGGAGGTAGATGATTTGGTTCGTAGGTACTCTAATACTACTGGAACTTTTTCCAACTTTGATTTGACTGTTTCAGGTAATAAGTCACTCTTCTGATACCTGTAATAAATAACCATACCAATTAAAATACTACATACTAAATCGAAATATCTGAGCCAAATAAAATAAATAGTCTGTTTTACAGGTCTTTTTAAAAAAAAAATTATTATTTATAATTTATAATTTATAAGCGCTTTTTCATATTTTCAACTGGAAAAAATCAGAGCAAGCGAAAGTATTTATAATTTATTTCCACAAAATGAAAGTAGGTTTTATCTATTCTCAATACATAGTAATCCCAAACTGTATTCACTAACGTACAACCAATCAAATGGCTGCTGTTAAAAACTTCAATGATACATAAGAGGCTTCATCAAGGTGTAAGTACGAAGTTCGTTCAAGCTTGATATTGTAACGACAAATTCTAGAAAAGCATATATTAAGATGACCATAATATGGTATACATTATGATATCTCTTCAATATTATTTATAATGATGAATATACTTACTTATAAAGTTTACCATGTTGATCAATATAAGTTACAGTGGTAGCTGAAGATTTAACACTTAACTGTGAACCATCATTAAACTTAACCCAAATCTCCCCATTACCATGCTGAGAATTCAAAATATTGAAATATAGTTTAGGAGAAAACTAGAGTGGAAATCTAAAGGTACTCTTTGTCCAATTTAGATAAAAAATTCACATAAAATTTTTGAGTCAAATAGGTATTGAATATCTGATCTGGTAATGATTTGGATGCAATTAGGTGACTCAGACAGTGCTTCTAAAAGTCTGTTGGCTTTCTCCTGACCCAGACAGAAAACCTAATCTAAATCTTGTTTTGAGCACAATTCCTTCACTAAACTTAACTCATTTAAAAGGGCAGTAAGTAAATATTTCATTATCAATAACGTTGTAAATTATACCCGAAAATATTTCTATAGTCTGATATTTACATCAATGTATATACACTTGATCAAACTGAATTCGTTTTAAATGTTTTAATTAAAAACAGATTGTACTCAGAGTTAAGGAAACAGCCCACACTAGGTTTGATGTTGGGCATCAAAAGACTCTACCAACGAAAAAATCATAATGCCCTTTCAAAGATACTTTTCATCTCAAAATTGACGATTAACCAACCTGAGCTGCCCAACCAATATTTGGTACAAACATCTGCCTGACAACTTCCTGTCTAGAATGTCTGGTATTGATTTCAGAAGAAGCATTAGACATCACTGTTAGTTGTGATGTCATTGTGTTGTTATGTGACATAGTCTCTGTCATAGTTGACATCACTGTACCATTAAATGATGGCATAGGCTGAAATAAAACAAAGAAAGATATAATATAGTGCTCAAATTGCTACTGATATGTTCTACCCAACTATACTTGTTATGGATGTCCACTTTATCAATGCATAAGGAAATATTTTGAAACTTTTGATGTGCCATAAATTGAATTTCTACCACCTAAAGAGCCCACTTTAAACAGATATTTAGAATATCACTAAACTTAAAAAAAAAAGGCATTGTCATGGTTTCATGATTTATTTTTAGCAAAAGCCTAGTCTTTTCTGATTTACAACTGTCAACGCCCCTCAGTCTAATGTCCTATCTAATTGACTGATAGAGGTCAACATGGTTAAAAATTCCCAATCTACAACCCAAATCCATGGAATCCTTTTCTAGAGGGCAAGCTACCAAATAATAAAAGTACTAGTTTTGTGAACAGAAATGTAGTCTTGATATCTCAGATACAACAGTGAGAAATTGAAAATTTACCATTGGTGATTTAAGTTGAAATTTGGAGCTATCTGATTCACTAGGTGTAGGTGTATTTTTATTATCACCAGGTGTTGAAGGTGTTTTACTACTCTCACTACCATCTGATGAATTTGGTCTCCTGAAACATGTTACATTATTTGATTATTTTGATTATTTATATAAGATTTGAACGACATATAGAAGCGAGGAGCACATATAACAAAAACACAAGACAATATCCCTTATATTATAATCTATACCTTAAAATCACTACTCCAACCACTGTGAATTTTTTGTTTAAATCTATTTTCACTTTTTACTTGAATTTAGCTTGGATGCCTTAATCTTTGCTTTTTTACCAGATACCTTTCTGAAAAAAATCTGATGCCTGTTTGTCTACAATCAAGTTTTTATCAGGTCAAGGGCAATAACTCCAAGAGTTTAAATCAAGCTTGTCTGAAATGATCATTACACATATATGCTACTTCCATCTATTGTGCTCATGTTGACAACTTGATAAGTAGACATGGGTATCTATTCTTACCTTCCAACAATAACAGGGAAGAGTTGTTCTTTCATTAAGCCTGTTTTCTGTACAGTAGTAATAGCAGTTTCTAATTCTAGACATTGATGTCGACACTGTTTAACAAATTCCAGACAATCTTGTGTCTCTAAACACAACCTGGATTCAGCTTCTTTTGATTCTAATGTTAAACTTGTACCATTACTTTCTATAATCTTAATACCTTTATTATTAGCTGTGTATTTAGCACCTACAATATCATATCATACATAAATCATTTACTCTTAATGTATAAGCTTATAGTGATTTAATCAACAGCATTGTGGCTTATTGTTTACAGAATTTCTGTCCAGGGCACAAATACACGTATACAGAATGCAACACATAAGTGGATGACAATCGCTTTGAAAGTTCATGACATTGACCATGACAACAGCCAATAAAATCGCTGACAGCTTTCAAGAAAATGGCGCAGAAAATTTTCATTCAATCAATCTAAACTTTGCAATAAATAAACATAACAAGGTGTTGACACGGATGGAATTTAGTGTGGATATGTTTTTCTATGCCTGAAGCGCATATTTAACTCGTGGTATGTTCACAATTTGAACATAAATTCTGTCTACACTGTGTAGACCTATCAGCCTAATTGCCATATTTTTAATGCCTTTAGCTAATGTTCTACGATTGTGACTATTATTGGCTATAAGTATTCGCTAATATATAATCCAACCAAAACGCTGCATTTACAAACTTCTGTGATACGAGACAGGTGGCTATTTCAATTGAGGTATAAGACGAATTCATAAGATTCACATTGTGAAGATAGAGCTTTGGTCAGGAAATTGCACTTACCTTCATAGAAAATTGCCTCAAAGTCAGGTTCAGGGGAGTTTTCCATCAACATACATTTAGCTCTGTGTGTATATAAGGTTACTTTGGGTGTTTTAGATCGTACTAAATTCACAAATCTGTAAAAAATATGAGGATTTCTGACTTTCTATGCTTTATTTAGAAGATATTGATATTTTTTCTAGTATTTACCTGGTAATATTGTAAATAAACTACTTACCTGGCAGCATATTGATATTTTTTCTAGTATTTCTCTGGTAACATTGTAAATAAACTACTTACCTAGCAGCATATTGATATTTTTTCTAGTATTTCTCTGGTAATATTGTAAATAAACTACTTACCTAGCAGATTATTGATATTTTTTCCAGTATTTCTCTGGTAATGTTGTAAATAAACTACTTACCTGGCAGCATATTGATATTTTTTCTAGTATTTCTCTGGTAATATTGTAAATAAACTACTTACCTAGCAGCATATTGATATTTTGTCTAGTATTTCTCTGGTAATATTGTAAATAAACTACTTACCTGGCAGCATATTGATATTTTTTCCAGTATTTCTCTGGTAATGATGTAAATAAACTACTTACCTAGCAGATTATTGATATTTTTTCCAGTATTTCTCGGGTAATATTGTAAATAAACTACTTACCTAGCAGCATATTGATATTTTTTCTAGTATTTCTCTGGTAATATTGTAAATAAATTACTTACCTGGCAGCATATTGATATTTTGTCTAGTATTTCTTTGGTAATATTGTAAATAAGCTACTTACCTAGCAGCATATTGATATTTTGTCTAGTATTTCTCTGGTAATATTGTAAATAAACTACTTAACTAGCAGCATATTGATACTTTTTCCAGTATTTCTCTAGAAATGATGTAAATAAACTACTTACCTAGCAGCATATTGATATTTTTTCCAGTATTTCTCTGGTAATATTGTAAATAAACTACTTACCTAGCAGCATATTGATATTTTTTCCAGTATTTCTCTGGTAATGTTGTAAATAAACTACTTACCTAGCAGAATATTGATATTTTTTCCAGTATTTCTCTGGTAATGATGTAAATAAACTACTTACCTAGCAGCATATTGATATTTTTTCCAGTATTTCTCTGGTAATGTTGTAAATAAACTACTTACCTAGCAGCATATTGATATTTTTTCCAGTATTTCTCTGGTAATGATGTAAATAAACTACTTACCTAGCAGCATATTGATATTTTTTCCAGTATTTCTCTGGTAATGTTGTATAGGTAAATTTTTTGGAAGGTAAATCTGTTGGTGGATTAGATTGATCTGATATTCTAGTACCATGTCCATTATTAGGTTGCCACATAGATATCTGCAATATAATAAATTTGTTATATATAAACAATATTAGCTATGTGGACTCTCAAAAGGGATTCTGAGTTGGAAAAACTAGTTGTAGAGTAGTATAACAGAATCTCTTAATAGAATAATAGTACTATTGACTACTATATGACTACTTAGTCTTTAAATGGCAAGAAAATATTTTTGTCGCTTCACTTGAAAGAACCTTATATTTACAGTGCAATTATGCATTGTGCACAACACCCCATGTCAACCTTTATACAACTTTAATTACTTGACGTTTACTTGACATTTACTTACATTTTGACCATCTGGTGATATCAAAAATATCTCTACAACTTTTTCTTCTTTACCTTTCTGTTTTAAAAATTCTAGGCATACTTCATTAGACTCTAAAATATTCACCTAAAATCACAGAAAAATAGATATGACAGTAAAAACATGCTTGGTTTGAATTTTTTTTTCCATTATATTTTATCGTATTATATTCTCTTCAAAAACCAATTGTTAACGTAATCGTATATTAAAACACATTCTATAATTCATATATTTATTCAGCTGTACGTCTTCACTCCAGGGGGATAACACATGAAGTAACGATATTAAAAGATGAGCTCATGCACGAAGCCATTACATGAATGTGCTATGAATATTCATTTACATGTTGAATATTCATATATGTTAACACCAATAACCGAAAGTTAAAAATCATTATATGGTTGCATGTCCAACATTTAAACGAGATTGAAATTAATCTCTGCAGCATATGGATTAATCAATTTTAGATGCCAAAAATCTTATTAGATATCGGATTTAAACTTTGCAGTTTACAAATGTAATTGAGTGCCAAATTCATACTTTATCATAATTCCAGGAAACTAAGAAAGAACCCCTGATTCATACTAGATGAACTTTTTCTGAAAATAAATATGCTTACTACATACCACTGCATTTTTAGTCTTCTGTCTAATAGGTCGTAGTCTTTCCGCTACAACTGGATTGACAAACGTTTCAATTGAACCACCTTTAGATACAGTATTATCACTACTAGCAGACGGTACTTCCCATCTAGGACTCATTAAATCTTGCACTAAACTTTTAGTACTTTTACATTCATTTTGTTTAGAGTTAAACTCTATAGGTCCTGGAAGGCCTTTTAACTGTGAAAACTTGTCCATAGTTTGGGAATGACTACTTTCATTTTTATGTCGTTCATGCATACTGTTTGTTTTTGAGTCTGAATTAAAACTGAGCACTCTTTTAGTATTTTGAAGGTTAAAATCCAAGTCTCCCTGCGATGATAGATCTGAGCTACCACTTAAATAGTTTTTAGATGATGTCACATGACCATTAGAACTACTAGTATCTGTAGATGACCGAAGTCCAGTGGTCACTACTTTGCCGATATCACTGCTATGGATTGAAGAAGTACCACCATTTGACCAGCCTGATGAACTAGGTGTTTGTGATGTTTCTTGGTATCTAGATGGATCAAATTGTTGTTTACCATAAAAATGATTCATCTTAGCTTTCAACATTTCAGATTCTCTTTCACTGTAATAATCATTATAAAGTTTAATCAATAAAGAATTATTAGAGATGAATGATATGAAATATGGATGTCATTTTGGCTACATCTATATAACAAAGAATAGTCTTTCTTAATCTTTTGCCAGTTGATCCAATCATAGATAAACTGGATATCAGATTATCATTGTAAAAAGTGATAACTTATCAATTGAAAAGGTTAATAACAAAAGGATATAAATGCAGATGGAACAAGAATATAAGATAAGCAAATAAAATAACTCTGTCTTGTTTTGGATTTTTAAATTGTGAAGAGTGAAATTCTTGTCTAAATTTCATACTGATCATTATTAATAATAATAATTCTTCTAAAATCATTACAAACCTGTCTCTTAGTCTCACTGGAGGTGAAGGTGGGTGACGAAAAACACCATTAGAATTTTTATTAGGCTGTGTGAACATTTGAGCATTACTTTCATATCTATTGGTATTTCTGTTACATTTGTCATTGTTTTCATCCACCTCACAAATATCAGAGATAGGAAAAGCTGGGAAAGGTTTGGATCTACTACTAGTAGTTGAGGTGGCTCTAGATGACATAGTACCTTGACCACTGTCCATTGACATCTCAGCATACTGAAATATAAACAGTTAGGTAGTCAAAATATTATCAGTAAAGAAAAATTGCTTGGAATGTAACAAATCTTCACATTATCAGGTCCTTATGTAGATGAGTTTGAAGCACCTTGTCAGTAAATTTATTTCATGGAAATTTTTCCAGGAAGCACTCAATGATGACAACCGAATGACAACTTTCAAAAGACCTGAAAACATTTCCTTGTTTTCGTCAAACAAATGGTGGTTGTAGGTCCTAATCTCAGTCGGCGTGTGAAAGTCTTGTAACCGTGAATAAGTCACCATTTCTCATTATGTATGGATACTGATAATCAATACTAAGAAGTTTAGCCAAGGACAAGCTTGTGAATCTATTTGTTGTCATCCTTGTAGTAAATTGTTGTCTCTTTTTCAGCAATTATTTAGATAACATTTGAATTTTATTCTGCATACAAAATAAATGGAAGAAATATAAATGGTACCTTTTTAGAGATTTTTCTAGATATAGTTGGTAATCCTGATCTGGTCATAAAAGGATGTTTAACTAAATCTGTAAAGTTAAACAAGATGATTGTCATAATAATGGTTTGATAACACAATAACTCGAAAATAATGTAATATCAAGACTATCATTTAATATCATGTACTGCAGCTTGATATTAATTATTTTTCCAACTATATAGCTTTAAAGCCAAGGTTCCGGACCCTTTCAGGTAGCAATCCCATTCCAGAAACTCAGATTAGATTGTGACCCTTCAATGTAAAAACAAAGCTTCAGGTTACAATCAATTTTATTGTGATATTGTAATCACAGTTCAATATTTGACAGCAAAAGCATTGATCAATGTGATTGTCGTGTCCATTTCTCAGTGACGAGTTTTAAACACAGTACAACACCACTCAGCACAACAATCATGTCCTTCTCTATTTGTAATGTTATGATGACAATCATTTCACAAACCATATCAATTTATAAAAAGTCAAGCCTGTGACCCAAAGAAAAGTGTGTTACGACCCAGAGGTTGCGAGTCCAGGCTTTTAAGGATTCAAAAGTGTGTAAAAAACATATGACTTATAGCTGTTTTTTTTTTTCACCATTTAAATTTCCTGCTCAATATCAAAATTTATAACCAAGTTATGTATCAAAATGATTAGTAATAAAAACATTTGAGTTTTTGGTGGAATTTTAGTCAATCAATAAACTTGTAGGTTGAAAACAATCAATCAAGAATAATCTCTTGCTGGGTGGAATTTAGATCTTTCAGAGGACCCTTGATAAATAGTGGATCTTAAAGGAGTGGTTATTTCAAAAGAAGTTGTCTGATTTAACATGTACCAAGTCTTGGTGCATAAATACATGATAAAAGGGACATAATTTGCATTAATCTGTGGTACAGTGTTTTTCTGAACCTGTGTTACGAACAAGGGAACAGTAGGGTACTGTTGTTGTGATAAATAACCATTATTCCTACCTTTTAAAGAAATTCTGTCTTTAGGATTTTTTCTCAGTAAAGATTGGATGAGATCTGTGGCTTCAGGTGACAGATGATTGGGTATTTCATAATCAGCTAAGATTACTCTATTTAATGTACTTTTTACAGCATCTGTATCAAATGGTGGTTTCCCCACTAGAAATGTATACAACATACATCCAAGAGACCATACATCAGCTTCTAAACCATGGGCAGATCTTGAAGCTACTTCACTATAAACAATGAACAAAATATAAAACAGTTTTAAAGACGGGTTTCCTTATTTTTTAGTGTCAAATTAAGCAAACTCTTTGATTAATTGGTGCTTCTAGTGAGTTATCATGCATTCTTAATCATATCATCATGTTATTATTGCATATAATTAAGTGTTCTAACCAATCATAAATGTCCATGTATGTACTGTCTGGATAAACAAAAACAAGACTTTTTTGATCTTTCTTGATCGGTCACTCATTGGAATTCTGATGGTAATTCTCTTCTAAATTAGCTTATCTGAATTAATTATGGACATGTGAGACAAACTGGTATTTTTCTAAGTCATTAGAACACCTCTACTTTCTATTCATATAAGTATTAGCAAATTGAAAATAAGGGATCCCATCTTTAAGGCAAAGATATTTCCGATTTGAGATTAGAAATAGAAATTAACTAGCATAAAATGGCTCAGCTGGCTATCGTATTATATTAATAATATTTTGTTACTATTTTTTTTTCAAACTATAGCCAATAGATCAACACACTGAATCACATTTATAATAATATAAGTTTAAGCTTATATAATATGTCTTCTTTGGCTTTGAGCCATATCAATGCTTGAATCTTTAAACCTTTTGATAGACAGGTTTTTTTTGTTCTGCAGTTTAAGATACAACAAATATAAAAAGAGTACATGATTTGCAGCCAAAAAAAGAGAAGGAGAGATGATTTTCAACCCAACATTGTGCCTTTATGATGGAGAGAGAGTTAAAAATAAACAAATAAGACAGAATTAAATGGCTTCTGAGGGCACGAATCTCCCAGCATACACCCTTTAATTCAATAGTCATAGTATTAACAATAATAACTTACGGTGAAATATAGTTAGGAGTACCACACATGGTAAAATGTTTCTCATCTGGAACTGATAACTGTGTGGCTAATCCAAAATCTGCTATTTTCTATAAAAAAATATTGTTGTTAAATGGCAGGTGATCATCATTTAGAACATTTCAACCCTTTTCTTTCCATTACACATTTCTGGATCCTTGATCCAATACATTACCACCCTGACACCTATAAATTCTTACTATTTCCTAATTTTCTCATAGATTTTTCCCTTAAAATCTAAATAGTCTTTAAGTTTATATAATATGCATAATGTATTTAAATTCCAGCAATGGACAGTTATGTTTAAATGCAAATGAACTATAACGAATGGAGTTTTACATCCTACTTTTCTGCACCATGTGGGCTAATGAAGACGGGCAACGCCATGCAGGTTGCAATGAGGGAAATTCTACCAGGACAGAGGTATTAGCCTGCTCTTTTTCGACGGGGGAGAAACCAGGTTGAAAAATCTGAAGGTATTATCTCAACCTATGACAGGACCTTCAGGTTAGAGAGCAAGCGTGTAACTCACTGAACAACCATGGCCCCCATGTTTAAAGTGATACTAGTCTTAGAATGAACATGAAATTTAAGAATTATAAACTTGGCCAATAAGAGCATATATTCATCAGAAGATATACCTGGTGTCATAAATAACATAACAGGATTCTTATATAATCCGATAAATCTAAAAAACTTATTAATTATCCATAAATATGCACTAAACTATTGAAAAACGCTTAATATTAAGATTAAGTGTTTTTCAGTAATTACTTAGTTTTATGAATTTTCAATTTTCTAGATTTTACAGGGATTCTGTTGTAACTTTATGACACCAGGTTAAGTTCACTGATGAATATAATAATACTCATTCTTGAGAACTTCAATTTTATGTTCATTCTAAGACGTATTATCACTTTAAAACCAAGACCTTTTTCTACTTAAAAATGGATCAATAAACGGAAAATGTGACAAACTATATACCATATAACTTACTAAATTATTATCTCGACTCAATAAAAGATTAGACAATGTTAAATCTATTATAATATACCATGAGAATGAATATAACTTACTAGATTATTATCTCGACTCAATAAAAGATCAGACAATGTTAAATCTATTATAATATACCATGAGAATGAATATAACTTACTAGATTATTATCTCGACTCAATAAAAGATTAGATAATGTTAAATCTCTATGTAAAATACCATGAGAATGAATATAACTTACTAGATTATTATCTCGACTCAATAAAAGATTAGATAATGTTAAATCTCTACTATAATATACCATGAGAATGAATATAACTTACTAGATTATTATCTCGACTCAATAAAAGATTAGATAATGTTAAATCTCTACTATAATATACCATGAGAATGAATATAACTTACTAGATTATTATCTCGACTCAATAAAAGATCAGATAATGTTAAATCTCTACTATAATATACCATGAGAATGAATATAACTTACTAGATTATTATCTCGACTCAATAAAAGATCAGATAATGTTAAATCTCTACTATAATATACCATGAGAATGAATATAACTTACTAGATTATTATCTTGACTCAATAAAAGATCAGATAATGTTAAATCTCTACTATAATATACCATGAGAATGAATATAACTTACTAGATTATTATCTCGACTCAATAAAAGATTAGATAATGTTAAATCTCTATTATAATATACCATGAGAATGAATATAACTTACTAGATTATTATCTCGACTCAATAAAAGATTAGATAATGTTAAATCTCTATTATAATATACCATGAGAATGAATATAACTTACTAGATTATTATCTCGACTCAATAAAAGATTAGATAATGTTAAATCTCTACTATAATATACCATGAGAGGAATGAATATAACTTACTAGATTATTATCTCGACTCAATAAAAGATTAGATAATGTTAAATCTCTATTATAATATACCATGAGAATGAATATAACTTACTAGATTATTATCTCGACTCAATAAAAGATTAGATAATGTTAAATCTCTACTATAATATACCATGAGAATGAATATAACTTACTAGATTATTATCTCGACTCAATAAAAGATCAGATAATGTTAAATCTCTACTATAATATACCATGAGAATGAATATAACTTACTAGATTATTATCTCGACTCAATAAAAGATTAGATAATGTTAAATCTCTATGTAAAATACCATGAGAATGAATATAACTTACTAGATTATTATCTCGACTCAATAAAAGATTAGATAATGTTAAATCTCTATTATAATATACCATGAGAATGAATATAACTTACTAGATTATTATCTCGACTCAATAAAAGATTAAATAATGTTAAATCTCTATTATAATATACCATGAGAATGAATATAACTTACTAGATTATTATCTCGACTCAATAAAAGATTAGATAATGTTAAATCTCTACTATAATATACCATGAGAATGAATATAACTTACTAGATTATTATCTCGACTCAATAAAAGATTAGATAATGTTAAATCTCTATGTAAAATACCATGAGAATGAATATAACTTACTAGATTATTATCTCGACTCAATAAAAGATTAGATAATGTTAAATCTCTACTATAATATACCATGAGAATGAATATAACTTACTAGATTATTATCTCGACTCAATAAAAGATTAGATAATGTTAAATCTCTATTATAATATACCATGAGAATGAATATAACTTACTAGATTATTATCTCGACTCAATAAAAGATTAGATAATGTTAAATCTCTATGTAAAATATACCATGAGAATGAATATAACTTACTAGATTATTATCTCGACTCAATAAAAGATTAGATAATGTTAAATCTCTATTATAATATACCATGAGAATGAATATAACTTACTAGATTATTATCTCGACTCAATAAAAGATTAGATAATGTTAAATCTCTATGTAAAATACCATGAGAATGAAGATAAAACATTCCTTCAACAATCTGCTTCATAAAATGACGTGCTGAAATGAAGAATCATATCAATTTATCAAATTATGGTTAGACCAAATTATAAATTTGGAATAATTTTTTCTGTTAATAAAAATGTTTAATCAATTTATCTGTTCAATTCAAAGCACATACTTCTTCATTAACCTCATGCTGAAAGGCATATTTTTGGTCTTTGGCACATGGATAACTACAATTGAGCTATATCATTTAAATTTAAGTTTTAACATACCTTCATCTTCAGATAAAACTTTACAATGTGTTTTTAAATAGCGCTGTAATTCACCATTATGACATATCTCAATAACTAAATATACATAATTATTATCTTCAAAATAATTATATAACTGGAAGAAAAATATATTTATATCAAAAACTTAAACTAAGTCTTAGTTTTTATCTGCTGACCTTATTTCAGATAGAGCATCCAATAGTCATAGTGTGGTTATGTGAAAGAAATGTCGTTCATAGGTTCTAATCACAGTCAACAGTAAAAGTGAAGTGATCTTGAATATGGCACCTTTCTTCAATATTCCAGTTGCAGTGCTGCAGATAATACAGAAAAGACTAATGTCAAAGGGTAATGACCAAGGACTAGCTGAAAGACAGAAACCCTGTGATCCCATGTTGTTAACCTTTGAAAAAGATAGTGAATTTTCTCATTTGATCTAAACTTTTTGGTAAATATAAGGTTTATGAAAACCTGTTGAAAATTAATGGAGTAGTATTTTGAGATCAAGGGGGGTAACTCAAATTGTTGCAAACTGTCCAACTTTATTTTTTGATGGTATCTTGATAGAGAGATGATTGAATATCAATTTTAAAGTTCAGCTGTGGATTTGAATCATTAGATTATAATCAAAAAAAATTTTCAAAATACCTCTAAAATAGAAGGATGCTTTAATCTGGAATGGATTTCAACTTCCTTTTTAACTCTTGTTACCATACCAGCAGCTTTCATCAACTTTTTATCTATCTGTAAAAACAGATCATACATAATGTAACATAATAATTAAATTCAGATAATATTGAAACAAAAGATATTCTGAAGATAACCAGACTAATCAAGAGTGTAAATGGCATCAAATGAAAGAACTATGAATATAAAGTGTAAAGAGAAAAAGCCAGTCCAATTCATTCAGAGAAACACATTTGATAAACTTAAACTGTTATAGTCTGGTATTGTCATAGTTATAGAAATAAATCACAACATCTTGTAAGAAATTGTTTCCCAATTATGTATATTTGTGAAAAATATAATTCAGTACAATATGCCATAGCTAATTCAGTCATCCATCAAATGCCAAGTACAATGAAAAATAATCATTCCTCTCTTACACATACAAATTGATATCATTCATGATGCAATTTAAAACTGATGACATATCAAATGCAGCTTTAGATGTTTTACAAAGCATAGATCTACTTACCATTTTGATAGCTACTTCAACACCAGTTTTATTGGACCTTGCCCTGTATACACAGGCAAAGGCCCCCTTCCCCAGAAGGTTGAGGACCTGGTAGTCCTGAAATGATATGGAATAACGTTTTAAACACATTTAGAATTAGGTCTACATTATATAATGGCAACGTTTAATATATTGAGAACATGTGGGAAGCACACCTTAATTGATTCAGCCATATCAAAACTAGACACTAGCGGTTGTTAATTTGAAAATATTTCAACCACTGGATGAATGACTTGTAAACGCACTGTCAGGATTGATTCTACTGTATTCAGGTAGAGTATAATGGAGGTAATTAGAGATTAATTAATGAGTCTAATCAAGGCTATTTAACTTTTACACATAATCCTAATAGCTCACTAATGATATCCAACTGCACAGATGTACTGCACAATTAAACATGTCTTGACCTAATGATGATAAAATTTTAAATATGAACTCTGCAAATAATGTCAAAAAATGTTTCCTAACATCTTTCACATGCACAAGCTTATATGAAGACAATGTTAAACACGTAGAACATGTTAATTTATGTTTGAGCTTTCTTAACTCAATCAAATCACCAATCAAATGCGAATCGGTCAATCAATCAGTCGAAAATAGCTCAAGTTCTTTTATGAATATGTATACACATACCGAATTTCATTTGATTCCATCAAAAAATCTAGTTAGAGAGCTTTTACAAGCAAATATAGGTTAGGGGTATAAAAATGAAATGAATGGAGTTTTTACATCCTACTTTTATGCACCATGTGGGCTAATGATTACCAACTGTCCAGGGATCTTTACCGTGCACACAAGGTCTCGGTTTATTGTCCCATCAGAACGACTAGACGCTTTTTTCTATGTCAGTCCCTCTGACAGGGCGAAACTGACTTGAAAAATCCAAAGGTATTATCCCGCCCTATATAGCTATTTTGAACTCACAGAGTTCCCTTGTTTTTTTCCCCACACAAAGTCCAAAAAACCTTAGACACTTGGTTGACTTTTTAATCTTGTTCCTAAACTAAATAAAAATTATTGTTGACAGCTAGGTAAACAAGATATTTGAGTAAAAAAAAACAAGTTGGCTATTAGCTTCTTAATCGACTATAACCTATGTTACATTCCCCTAAATTCCCAAAATAGCTTTGCTTAAAAAAAGAGTCCACATATTAGTTGGCTAATATATGTATGTTTTGATCACCTTTCATACATATTGACCAAATATGGCCTATATGCAATTCTGCCAAATTCACCAATTTGACTCTTGTTTTACTATTTTCCTACTAATTAGACTCCAAGGACTTCAAAAAAGCGAATTAAAATCAGTTAGTTTGAAAACTAACTATTTGCAGTCTGCACAGTGGTCCACAAGAAGTGCTAAATTCATACTTGTCAACTGTCATTTTTCCTATTCTGAAATAAACCCCACATAACTCGACCAGTTTAAGAGCCAGGCTTTATACGGTATATAATTTGAAAAATCCTAAAATAATCCCATCATAAAACCTATCATTTATTATACTACCGTACCAGCACCGGCAATTATATTAATAATCAATCATACCTCAGCTAATCCAACTTTAAACATAGAAGGGGAATTACCGATATTATTTTTTGAATCAAAAGAATCGTTAAAAAAATATGTCTCCCATCTGGACACAAGTTTATAAATTTCTGCCTTTACTACTAGGCTATACAGTGACCTAAATTATTCTTACCACAAGACTTGACATAATCTACACTTGGAAGGAAAGTGGCTCTTTATAACAGAAAATCTGCAATATTTGGATTCAGGAGTCCTAAATATTTTCTATTATGGCACCGGTACCATAATAATAGATCAGATCTTAATAGCCTAGCATTCTGTTCAGTCTGCCTCTTCTTTCCTAGATTCCTCAGCCTGAGTAGGGTAGGACTAGTCAACAAAATGAAAATAAACTAGATCTCAAATTCTGATTTTCATTTAAGAAACAGGGCATCTAGATTTAATACTTTATACACTATTTAAATCTGCTATCCACATTAAAATCGATAAATACGGATAAAAGAGGCATAACCGTTTTTCGTTCAGTCCACCATGTTTTGTTTTTAACAGGATCGGACATGTCAGTTGAGCTTCAAGTTCATCTTGACAAACAAGAGAAACGAATGTAAACCATTTCAAATGAAGCCTACCTCAATTCCTTCGCCCATTTTCAGCTACATAAAAAAGAGCTATTATGTAATTCTCCCTGATATTATTCCAGACAAAAAGTCTAAGTAATCATGACTAAAATAACGGTATCGATTATAAATTAATCACGAACTTCTTGTTTGTTTTCATTTGAGAAAACCGTTCATAGAGCGCGCCTCGTAATCTTACCGGAAGTTAAGCCGCAGCAAATGTCTAAAACGTAGTCAATATAAAATATACAAGGAAGTAACCATGAGTTTTCTATAGATCACTTTCTACAAGCAATTGTATTAAAAACCACTGTAGTAAAATATTTAATATCCTTATTCTACTAAGATAAGATGAGTTGATTGCTTGAATTCATTAAAGGGACTATTGCTCCATTTCGGAGGTTGATAAATAATCTTCAGAAGTAATAGAAATATTAGCAAATCCTCAAATAAACTAGGAGGACGAGTCGTCTTTTATACACACAAACGCGGAAAATTCTGGCCACATTGGATCGAAGGATCAAATTTCGACGGTAAACTGTGAACACTATTGGCGTAGCTTAGTTTATTGTAGATATAATGTACTTGGACTTCTATGTCACTATCTGATTCGTCTGCCATTATGTTGTCCAGCTTCTCCAGAAAATGTGCCTCAACTCACGTGGACATAGTAAACGCGGCTACACGTCATTTTTTTTTTGGCGTACTGGTCACGTTACCCGCTTCCGAAAATTTATCTGCAGCATGTGCGTTTTGACTCTTAAGGCTTGTGTCCACATACCGTGGCATGCGTGATTTATGTTGCGTTTTCATACCGGCTAAAACTCGTCCGCGCCGCGTTGTACTATGTCCACATGAGGGTATAGGCTAATCAAAAAATCAAAAACACTAATGGTATGATTCTTGCCGGATTTTGACAAAACATGGTTTTATTATTCAGTACCGCACTGAAGATTGAATATTTGCCTTCTAGAGTTTTTATGAGCTCAAAATTGAACACATTTCAAGAACAAGGGCAATAACTCATACTCAATATTATTCAGTATCACCCTAAAGATTTGCATTTCAAATATTCTATATCATTCTTTTAAACTAACTTCACAAACATTGCTCTATCACTAGAGGTTACGCCTACATGCCTGTGCCTGTGCTTTCGTAACATTGCTTAACCGCAATATTACAACCTTAAATTCCTAAAGAGTTCAGAAGAAGTGTATAACTGAAAGTTGAATACTTCATACTGGTGATTGTTACTGTACTGCTAAATATTTTTATTCAAAATCAAAGCTGCCATTGGACATATATTACCTCGCCTGGCAAGCTATCTTTCTATAATCTTATTGTTTTTAGGTCTTTTGACTACGAGTACGAATTTCCATTTTAACATATCAACCTTAACATTGCTTTAACCCTAGCTGTGCCAGTGCTTTCTGTTGGATAGTAACTTGTTACCTTTCAACCACCCTAACCACTAAAATATTCTCAATTGCTGAGAACATTTTTGCAGGTTTCATAGAATAATATCATAATATTGGGAAACCGGGACAGTTTTGGGGAAAGTTATTCTCTGTAAATTGGTTACGGATTATAATGCACTGCACGCACTTGTAATGATATGTGGATACGGTTTTATTTTACAGAAGTCTGCATTGCCTGCATTAATTAAAATTTAACTTATTTTTTAAATGTAACGCCATTGAATATAACTTATTGTAAATATTTGCGTGTCGCATATTTTCTAGATTTTTCCATCATTGTTGTCTCAAGATACTTTGTAAATTTAGCCAATCAAATCCGATTCCGCACTTTGCCGCAATTGCACTCATCGAATCGGCGATGAACAGAGGCGTTGTGATTCACGTGTTCTGGAAATTTCTTGGACTGATTAGAAAATTCTCGACTTGCAAGCTTGTATGAATAGCTATTGAACATTTTTCTGTTTAAGCTAATACGTTTAATATCAGTTAAAACGAAAATCGCATTTGATATACCACTCAAGGACAACATTATTATAATTTTCAGATTTGAAATTTATTGATTAGAAAGGCTTGAAGAAGATTCACTCAGAGGAGAAAAGGAAGAGTCACATTTCAGAAGTAAAAGGAACTGGAACTATTAAAAGAGATAAAAAGACGACAGAATGTCTGTTGTTGGAATAGATTTTGGAACCTATTCATGCTACATTGCAGTAGCTAGGGCTGGTGGTATTGAAACCATTGCCAATGAATATAGTGACAGACAAACTCCGTAAGTAGATAAATAAACCTTTTTTTTATTCATTTATTACACTAGTTGTGCATAGATTGAGATACTTACAGTGGTTCCCCACCTTTTCATTTGAGGCTATTTGAATTTGCATTAAACTTGCTACAAAACTTTTCTATTATGGAATGTGTGTAGCAAATCCTGTTATAAGATTTTGGATAATGAGTTGATTATGATAATCCACATCAGAAAATTAACCATTCACAAATAAATTTATAATTGAAAAGCATAGTAAACATGCCAGTCGAGGAGGCCTTAACTTAAAGCATTTTGAGAATCTAAAATGAAACTGAAAATAACCATAAAGAAGAACTTGAATGCAGTAGCTCAGTAGGACCTTGTTAAACATATGGCTATCCCTACCTAACCCTAAAGTAAACCACATATTTGACACTATCCTCTCAAAAGTCTGTGGGCTACACTCTACAGGTATTTTTGCAGCACACTTAAATAATAAAAAAAATAGATGCAATTGGTCTGCCTTCTAAAAATTATACGAAAAATTGTTTCATATCTTGGGTGACAATATAACCTTTACACTTGATTTTTCATGACAAAATTCTTTCTTGGCATAATTTTAAGTGGACATTGGGAAAAGTTCTGCACAAATATACTGATTCTAAGTTCATATCTTTGGTCATCATCTGACTGTTTGAAAGTAATCACACCACTGTGGAAGAATAATGCATGTGATAATGTAAAACAGAATTCATGTCAACTGATTTTTAGAAGTAATATGGGTGCTGGCCTGATTGTCAATGACTTAAACCCAAGAGTAATTATCGAAAAACATGTATTACCAGTATAACAAGATTAACAGATGACTGTTTTTACTAATATCTACCAGATCATCTATTACTATCTTTAGCTCAGTAAATAATAATGTAGAGATAAAACTAAGGTTTCTTTTTGTTGGCACATCAATATAGTTATTGTAGAAATTTAGAGACCCACATCTTGTGGACATATTTTTGTTCGTTTTAGCATCTACCTGTCTATCATTCAGTTTTTCTTCTAACACAGTAAATGTTATAAACTAAGTTTATGTAACAATTTAAGCTTATGTAATAATTTATGAGAAAAGTCTTGAAAAAAGTGATACCAGCATGCCATAAAAAATTTCATTTCCTGGTTTGGATGTCAAAGTTGAACAATGAATGTCAAAACGACAACTTTTTGTGGAGATCTAATTATTTATTTATGCAATATTCAAAAATAAATTTAGTACGGTACACTGTATACAGATATATATAACATTATTAAGCTTATAAAATATGAAATCTTATATTGTAAAATGAGAAGTGAAATCTGCACATTAATAAGATCAAGTCCCATTGGATAGATAATGATCTTACAATTGTTTAAAGGGATACATTTGTCTAAAAAATTAACCAATAACTATAACTGTACTATAATTTTATATTGAACTGTTAAATATTGACAGTATATTGGTAGTGGTGATGCTGATGCCACTAGGGGTACTTATAGAGGCAGGAAAACTTGGGCTTTAGATTCCAAATGTGGAAGCACATTGTGAAAGTCTTTCATTGAGTGTATGAGTAGGTTCTCCTCCAGAAATATTGTGAAAAAAAGAAATGCATTCGGACACATAGTTTGAGGCAGAAAGTGGGGATACAAACAATTTTTTCTGAGGCCCCCTATTTCCCTAATTTGAATTTTATTTAACAGGCTACCGCAATTTTCTTTTTGAAGAATATTATTCAAATTATTTGATTTTGTAGATCATACATATCATTCAATGAGAAGAATAGATGTATGGGAGTTGCTGCTAAACAACAAGCTGTGATGAAGTTTAAAAATACTGTTGCTGGAATCAAACGTTTAGTTGGTAGAAAATATAATGACTCTAGAGCTCAGAGGGAAATGAAGATTCAATTCTCACAAAATGATATTTTTCATGATACTAAAGATGGAAATATATTTATCAAGGTATGGTTGTATGTAAAATAATTTACTTTCACACTCCATTGAACAATAATATAAATATTAGAAGTTATATATGCAGTAGATTGGTTTTCAAGGAAATGAATTAACAGAAAATGTAAATTATTTTGACCTCAAATTTTCCTTAAGATCAATGTATGAAATATTTTGATGTGCAATGTTAACTGTGGCATAGATTTCATTAGAGGGACTGTTTAATGTGCAAATCAAGACACTTTAAAAGCTAGAAGTTTTCTTTTGAACTAAGCTTATAGTCACAGCTCTAAATCCCATCATTAAGAAAAAAGCTCACTGCATAAATTTGTTTTACAAGCTGGATAGAACAAATAGTTAGATCAACCTTTTAATATTGGTTTTGAGAAAAGGAGAGCAGAAGTCTTCAGTCATTGCAACAAATGAAGCATCTGATCTGTCAATTCCTTTTTTTTTTTATAGAATTATGAAATTGTTAAAGGAATTATAAAGAGGTTTTCTAAAAAAGTTCTGTGTATAGGGACATTGATATCATCTGTTTGCACTATTCCAATCTTCAGAAGGGCCTAATGTGATGCAAGCATATTTTGTGATTAGTGACGTCATCGAAAACTGTGGAATTGCAAGAACCATGACGTCTGACTGAAAATTAGAATGGTCCAAATTGATGCTGTCGGTTTTCCAGAGGTTTAAGATAAACCTCTTTATAATCCCTTAAATATAAAACATATTGATTAAAATCTGTTACATTTGTAGGTGGATTATTTAGGAGAAAATCAACAGTTCAGTCCAGAACAAATAACAGCCATGTTATTTACTAAGTTAAAATTAACAGCTGAAGCTGCATTAAAAACTAAAGTAGTTGATGTTGTTATATCAGTAAGTAAATTTCCACAGCTTCAAAATTAAGATATAGGAAAGTTGGAAATTACAGTGCAAGCTACAACTGTTGAAAATGTTAACTATTGTTAATATTAAAAATAGGACCAAGACTCTATGCTGTAGCATCTTCACAATGGTCAAGGTTTTACAATGTTGTCATATACCTTGAGTACAATAACCACTTTTTTGTATCACTGCAGGTTGTAAAGGCAGTGATTTAATTAGATTGTATGCTAGTGAATCAATCAGCCCATGACAGAAAGTCTGTAAAAAATAAGCCATATAAACAGTCTTTCTGTTGACTCTGATTGGCTGCACAATCCAATCAAATCGCTGTATTCCGTGATACAGGAACAGTGACTATTGTAGTCAAGGTATAAGACAAAGTTCGTAATACCTAGACCATTGTGAAGATGCAGCAGAAAATGTCTTTAAAGATGGGTTCCTTGTATTTTAGTGACAAATTAATCAAACTTTTTATGAATTGGTGTTTTGAATGAATTATCATGTATTCTTAATTATATCATCATGTTCTGATTTCATATAATTAAGAGTTTTAACAAATCATAAATGTCTATGTATGTACAGTCTGGATAAACCAAAAAAGGACGTTTTGATCTTTCCTGATCGGTCACTCATTGGAATTCTGCTGACAATTCTCTTCTAATTTAGCTAATTATGAATTAATTATGGACCTGTGAGACAAACTGGTATTTTTCCTAGTCATTAGAACACTTTCTATTCATATAAGTATAGAATTTTCATTTTCATAAATGGAAATTAGGTAATCCATCTTTAATGATTTATTTCAAATATTTTTAACTTATTCAATTGTTTTCTGAAATTTTAGGTACCATCATATTGCACTGATGTAGAAAGGAGAGCATTTTTAGATGCTAGTCAAATGGCAGGATTAAATTGTCTCCGTTTATTGAGTGATACTACTGCAGGTAGGTGTGGCATGTTCAATTCTTAAAAATTCTTCAGAAAGGTGCAGTGCATTGGATTATATTTTAAGTCTATTTTGCTTTATAATTGTGGGACCGGAAACCGGAAGTGTCACAGTTCAACATGTGCAAAAAGTTCAAAATCGGCTCTAGAAGGTGCATTTTTACGTTGATTTTCATTTTTAGTGTCTGTAATCTCTGATCTGATAGCACTTGCAAATTTTGCACTTTTTTGATCAAATTTTGCATTTTGTTTTTGCATCGATTGATCTAAAATTTAAAATGCAAAGAGATATCATTAAGTAAATAACATGTTACTGTCAAATATTTAGTGTTAAAATGGTTAGTGAATTTTACAACCGGGTAATCATCTGCAATAACCATTTGTTACCTGGTTAATTACTAATGATTATAAAAGGAGTTAAAAACTACATTTGCGGAGGTAACTCACCGTTTACTAAACTAGAGTAACTGTAAATGAATACCCAGGAAGATTTTGGTTAGTTCCCTGCGAATTGTCTGTACAAATCAACAGATACCAAACAAACCATTGAAGCGTCTGCTTCAATGTAAGATTACGAGGAGGCCTGTCAGAGTTCAGACGTACTGGTTCCGCACTGGTATAAAACTATTGTCTCAATGAATATTAATAAGCTTGAATTTTCTGTCAAAATTGCTCTCTTTTTACTTCTTATAAAATTGACGGTTAACCGATTATCTCAAATCAGACCTGGTTAGATGTGAAATACTACCTGAAATCGGTTAACTGATTAACCGTTTCAACACTACAAATATTTTACTTCACTTCCGGTTTTAAACGGGGAATCAATTGAAAGTACCACCTACTTCCGGTCGAATAACTTCCATTTTAATTGAAAAAGGTCAACGAAATTTATGCTGATCTTAAGTAAATACGATTACAAAAAAACAAAGAAACAAACATCCAGACCAAAAGCGATACTTCAGCTGCCATATTGAAAAAATACGCTTTCGTAAAACTCAAAATGGGCCTCAGTGTAATTGTTGATAGCTCAAATTTGATGTGTATGTTTTCGCAATCGATTGCACAAAAAACGAATGTGTAGGGTCAAAGGTCATTAACCTTGGCTATCATATGATACTTTGACATTTGACCTCCAACATGTACTTCCGGTTTTATAGCTGGACTTCTCTAACCTAGAGGGTTAATTTTTCTGGTTTCCTAATGTGCTTCTCATGCACTTGACATTGATATATACAATCTTTTTTTGTGAAGCAAAATAGAAATCTTGATTTTTTTCAAATTTGAGTTTTTTAAAAAAAAAGTATTTTTGTCTCTTTGAGCTTGGTGTATGTATATCTTATGACCTATTTGATGTAGAACATTGATATTTGGAATACAACTAGACACTTTAAATATGAATTCACAAAAAAGTTGAGGTGGGCGTGGCACATCCGAGTTGAATTACTAATTGTTTACATTTTGGGGCAGGGGCATAACTCGCATAGGATATGTTTGTTCAAAAAGGGACTTTTTACACAATTACCCATCCTTTTGGCCAGATATTAACCTACACCAATTTTTATAGTAATCTTATAAAAACTTACGTCCATATTAGAATGTGGGTGTATAAAAAGTTGTTATTCAGTAATCTTATTTAGTCTAGTAGAACCTCACTGATCATCATTTGTTTGAACCATTATTTTGTAGCTTCCCTAGCTTATGGTATTTATAAACAAGATTTACCAGCTGAAAATGAAAAAGGTCGTAATGTAGTTATTGTTGATATGGGGTATGCTGCTTTACAAGTTTCTATATGTTCATTCCATAAAGGTAAATTAAAGGTAAGTTGACTAGTACATGTATTGTTATATTAAATATGTAGATATATGTGAAGAATATTCACCTATGTCAAGGCTTGCTGTCATATAATTGTCAAACAATATCATAGATAACTACCTGGTACATTGTGACATAATGCCTGGCAGGCACCATTAATCTCTATTCAAGTAGGCTCATAAATCCAATAAAGTCTATAACCTTGGCTCTGAACCCTTTTTTTCTCCATAGTCTCAAGTACTCTTGATAAGTGTATGTTATCTCCTGGTATCATTTTTCTGATGAAACATGAAAATAATAACTAAAACTTGTGAGGAAAGTGAAATGATCTGCCTTGGCACTAAAAGTGTGAAATGATGAAAGCTTTAATCCATTCTCTGAGAAACATTGATAATATGTTAATAAGATAAAAACTATTTTTATTATTAAAGGTTTTCTTTCATTAATATTGATGTTTTATTAATCAATATTATTATTATTATTATTAATGTTAGAAGTAGATCAACTTCTAAAGATGAGATTCTGGCTCTGATCACTATATTGTTCTTTATGAACCATTGTTAGTCTGTAATATCACTTAGATGGAAGTTAAGGTTAATTTGTCATAGAAAAAGCTAATAGTATAGATTGCATTTGTTTATACACCAAGAGACATTTTTAGACTATAATGAAATATTTGAAAATTCTGCCTAATGTTTTTGAAACATGAAGATTTATTCTATTTGGCAAGATAGCAACATTTCAGTTGTTGACATGATATATTTCAATGAAACTTGATGTGTGTATATATTGATGTTTCTTGAATAAGTTTTATTTTCACAAATTTCAATGAACATAACTTGAGTATCAAAATATGTCTACTGTTTTGATAAAACAGTTCTAATATATATATAGCATTGGTGAGATCTATATGTTATAACCATATTGTTCAGGACAATACATTTGTGAGGTAAATGATTTAGAGATGCTATGTCTAGTGCTGTGTATCATCAATCATCCCACGATACAATATGTATCACGATAGTAGTGTCAGTATACGATACATGTTGCAATGCAAGGGTCACGATACACTACACATAGTGATATAATGTGATGGGATAAAGATTTATCATTTTAACTTCAAAGTTTCAATATATATTAATTTATAACTTTATAACTGTGATATTTGATAATATAGTTGATAGAAGTGGTTAAGAGTCCACTGCCTTATAAAAAGTTTCTAACAATTTCAGTGAAAAAAATTGTTATGTCATAAACCAATAAAGTATTGATATTGAGATATCATGCGATATGGTATGTCCTATCGTGATACATCGATTCACTGATATATTGTGCCAGCACTAGTATGTTAGTGAAATTTTTTGCTGTATGGACCCTGTTGGGAGTATTTAGCTTTTAAGGCGACCACTCGTTACTATTAGAAAATAAACACTATTATGGATAGGAAGGAGTAGTATATCCAGAATTAAAGAATATAAAACAATTTACTATTGAATACTAATTAATGTTATAGGTATTGGCTGTAAGTAATGATCCAGATTTAGGAGGTAGAAATTTTGATCAACTCTTACTGCACCAGTTCTCTGAAGAATTTAAAACTAAATACAAGATAGATGTAATGAGTAGACCTAAAGCTTATATTAGACTTTTACAAGAGTGTGAGAAACTTAAGAAATTAATGAGCGCTAATACTCAGAAAATTCCTCTGAATGTAGAATGTTTAATGGATGATAAAGATGTCACTTCTGGTATGGACAGGTATGTTGATTATTAGTTATTAGTCACTGTTCCAAATTTTCTCATATCTGAAACATGATGGTTTATCATGTGGCCTCTCATGCCCCTTTAATGACGCTGTCCTGGCAAAATTTCCCTCATTGCATTCTTCATGTCATTTTAGTCGCACATAATGGAGAATATATTTGCATCAAAATATAGTCAAATGAATGTGTCCAGTTAAGGCTCAGTGATATTAGTTCAAGCATTAATGTATCACGATAATATGGGTAATTGGGTATATGTAGCTATAGTTTTTACTGGTTTTTGAAACAAAATTATGATCTAGAAATTTTAAATGTAACATAAAACATCTGTTTCAAATATTAAGTTACTTATTAAAATTGTGTAGATGATCTTATCTGAACAAAAATATAATGATATATCATGATAATTACCATATATCAAGATATGGCGATATTTCAGTATTTTTCAGTTAGGCAATATAATTAACAATACGAATTCCTTTACTGGTATATTGCCCAGTCCTAAGTCTAGTGGATCAATTCACTTGATAATAGTACAATATAATTGTTTAAATGTAAAGAGATTGTCTTACAAGACAGTGAATTAAATTACAAATTGTAAATCAAGCTCCTAAATCGTTCTAGAAATAAAAAAAATTACCTTGGAACAGACAAGCTTTGATTCTACAAGTATAAAAACTGATACACAAGCTATAGTAGACTTGATACGAGTTGGTGTGTTGCTTGTTACAAAATTCTATCAAACGTTAAATACAAACTTCTCAAAATAAATAGTTGTGACATATTATTGTGTTAAAAGAATAAATATATAAAGCATGTTATTTGTTCATTGTAGAACTACATTTGAAGAGTTAGCAAGTAAAGCAGGTTTATTAACAAGAGTAGAGAATACAATGAGAGCTATACTAGATTATTCCAGTAAGTTCATCTTTAGTATTCACTGTCCTGATATTGTAGTATATCATTTGAGATAATAACAGGGTTTTCTTGGTTTAAAGATCAAAACGTTTTGAGTGGTTGCATTGGTGGTAACAAAACAGTTATATGTTGTAAGAAATACTGTTTTATCTATGAAGTTTTCATCCAAGAGATATTTAAAAAGCATTTAGTTTATCCCTCGACAGTTGTACATTAAAGAAGAGGAGGCTGTCCTGACAAAAATCCCTCATTGAACACTGAATGGCATTGCCCCTTTTGCACTAGCCCAATGGTCCAGAAAAGTAGGATCTAAATTTCATTTGATTGTCGACACAGAAATATTAACAGGCCTATAAATGAGCTAGTTTTTGATAATAAAAATGTTGATTATATTACAGATGTTAAGTTAGGTGATGTACATTCAGTAGAAGTTGTTGGTGGTTCTAGTCGTTTACCATGTGTGAAAGCCTTGGTAAATAAAGTATTCAATATGGAACCCAGTACAACTCTCAATTCAGATGAAGCTGTATCAAGGGGTTGTGCTCTACAGGTAGGTAAAAGTTTAGTAAAAACTTATGTCCGTTTTTGTGCATGGTATTGCTCAGTTGGTTAGAGTGGTGACATTTTGACATCATTTGTTTGGTTAATTGGAGCAAGAAATTATCTAGTATTTTATTTTGAGTTAGTGGATTTGAATAAGTCCTTCTTTCCTGAATAGACAATCTAGAAGATGCATGAATGCTTTGCCATAAAAATAAGAATTAGGTATATGATATGATATTGAGCAAGACAAATTGTTGTCATTTCAGTGTGCTATATTATCACCTACTTTCCGTGTTCGAGATTTTAATATCACTGACTGTCAACCCTATTCTATAACATTACATTATACTGGTTCTGTAGAAGATGAAAAGTAAGTCAAGTTTTTGTTATTTTCTCTCTCAAGTCTTTTGTCTATATGTAAATTTGGCTACAGTTTAGTGACTTTAATCAGTCAACTTAATTGAAAGTGATGGTGTAGTTCTTGGATATCTGGTAATGTTTACATACGATGTATAGCTTGTGCACTAAAAGTGTGAAATGATGAAAGCTTTAATCCATTCTCTGAGAAACATTAATAATATGTTAATAAGATAAAAACTATTTATATTATTAAAGGTTTTCTTTCATTAATATTAATGATGTTTTATTAATCAATATTATTATTATTATTATTAATGTTAGAAGTAGATCAACTTCTAAAGATGAGATTCTGGCTCTGATCACTATCAATCTGATCAAAATCTCTTAAGTGTTGTTGTTGTTCAAAAGTACTGTCTGTAATTCTGAAGAAATTGTGTCTTATTTATTCTTCCTTTATTTCACTAAAGGACTTCATATTAACTTTTAATATGTGTTAGAAAAAGCTGGCACATTTCACACGGAGCCCAGTTGCACCCACTGATCCAGACTCAAGTGAAGTGAAATGATGAAAGCTTTAATCCATTCTATGAGAAACATTAATAATATGTTAATAAGATAAAAACTATTTTTATTATTAAAGGTTTCCTTTAATTAATATTAATGATGTTTTATTAATTGTGGGACTTTGCTTTTAGCAAAGTCCCAGTTTGTTATCGAAATGTCCCTTCTTTTTTTTTTCGTTTCGTCCACACCTTCCTGTGCTTAGACTGCAGTAGTTGCAGCAACGTTTCAAATTTCATAGACCTTCTATATAGGTGACGATGTGCATAAATATAAATTGGAACATTTTTGCAAAACTGGAAGTGCCACAGTTCCACATGTGCAAAAAGTCGAAAATCGGCTCTAGAAGGCGTATTTTTGCATCGATTTTCTTCGGGTTTTCATTTTTACAATCTACCTGTAATTTCTGACCTGATAGCACTTAAAAAATTACGAAACGAAAAAAAAAAGAAGTGTTTTAACATTTGGATATTTTCGATTTTGACCTTTGTTGACATTTGTTGACCTATATCTTTTGACCTGTATTATGTAGGAGCTTGTCATTTCGAACATAACGTAACATTCTGAATATCAATTAACCTATGCAAAAAAAATTGAAGTGGGCGTGGCACATCCGGGTTAAATTACTCATTATTGACATTTTTGGCCAGGGGCATAACTCGCAAAGTATACATTTGTTCAAAATGGAACTTTGCATACAATTACCTCATATTGTGAGCCACTTTGTCTTAGAATTTCGGTTGTTTCCGCTTCTTAGTTCAAAAAAAGGAACAGGTTTTGGAAATTCAAAATTTTCAATTTTTGACCTTGACCTTTGTAGGATCAAACGTCATTGCCATTGGCTTTCTATTTATACTTTTATATTTGCTGTCCTATAAAAAATGAAAATTTCCCAACTTTAGACCGTTCTTGCGCTTGAGCTAATTATCGTGGAAGGATGATTTTTTCGGGGTCTTTTGCAATTTGCTACATTTGCAAAGTCCCACTCTGTGCCACGAGTGGCTCTAGTCAATATTATTATTATTGATGTTAGAAGTAGATCAACTTCTAAAGATGAGATTCTGGCTCTGATCACTGATAATAATTTACCAGATCATCCATCATATTACATTCATACAAAAAGTTGTTGCTGTGTACCATCAGCTGTCAAAGCAAATACTTACAGGACAGTATCCCTTGGAATTTTATATCAAAGAAATAGTTGTCTGTTTCTTTTTGGGTTATTTAGAAAAAATGTTGAATCTACATTCTTATAAAGTCAAGTTATCAAAACAGACCTGTTTATTATACTGTCTTATCAAATGATATTTTAGTTTATAATTTTGTTTGTTTGAATTTATTTTAGTTCCTTAGAAGTGTTCTCTAAATTTCATCCCATACCATTCTCTAAGATGTTAACATTTTATCGTAAAGAACCATTTGAATTAACTGCTAGATATACATATCCTAAAGAGGTACCCTATCCATCAGATCTTATAGGTAAGCTATTATATATTTAATACCCTATCCATCAGATCTTATAGGTAAGCTATTATATACTTAGTACCCTATCCATCAGATCTTATAGGTAAGCTATTATATACTGAGTACCCTATCCATCAGATCTTATAGGTAAGCTATTATATACTTAGTACCCTATCCATCAGATCTTATAGGTAAGCTATTATATACTTAGTACCCTATCCATCAGATCTTATAGGTAAGCTATTATATACTTAGTACCCTATCCATCAGATCTTATAGGTAAGCTATTATATACTTAGTACCCTATCCATCAGATCTTATAGGTAAGTTATTATATACTGAGTACCCTATCCATCAGATCTTATAGGTAAGCTATTATATACTTAGTACCCTATCCATCAGATCTTATAGGTAAGCTATTATATACTGAGTACCCTATCCATCAGATCTTATAGGTAAGCTATTATATACTTAGTACCCTATCCATCAGATCTTATAGGTTAGCTATTATATACTTAGTACCCTATCCATCAGATCTTATAGGTAAGCTATTATATACTTAGTACCCTATCCATCAGATCTTATAGGTAAGCTATTATATACTTAGTACCCTATCCATCAGATCTTATAGGTAAGCTATTATATACTGAGTACCCTATCCATCAGATCTTATAGGTAAGCTATTATATACTTAGTACCCTATCCATCAGATCTTATAGGTAAGCTATTATATACTGAGTACCCTATCCATCAGATCTTATAGGTAAGCTATTATATACTTAGTACCCTATCCATCAGATCTTATAGGTAAGCTATTATATACTGAGTACCCTATCCATCAGATCTTATAGGTAAGCTATTATATACTTAGTACCCTATCCATCAGATCTTATAGGTAAGCTATTATATACTGAGTACCCTATCCATCAGATCTTATAGGTAAGCTATTATATACTTAGTACCCTATCCATCAGATCTTATAGGTAAGCTATTATATACTTAATACCCTATCCATCAGATCTTATAGGTAAGCTATTATATACTGAGTACCCTATCCATCAGATCTTATAGGTAAGCTACTATATACCACTAGTTTATTTCAAATCTTGGTGAAGGAATCTAACCCAATGAGCCTTTTCACTTGTAAACACATTGTACAATGTTTTTCCAAATTTGGATAGAACTTGGTATATGCATGTAGATATGCTTACAATGTAAAAGTCAAATCTTGGCTGGCAAATATTTGGTCACAGATACTCCTGTTCTTAAATTTGGGACAATTACTTCATTTTGATCTTTGGGAATCAGTTTTATTCAGGCCGTTTTCTAATTTTTCCCTCATTGCACACTGCTTGGCATTGCTACTCCTCAACTCTATCAGGAATACATTTTGAAAAACGTAATATAAAGTAATATTTGCTATGCCATTTCCAAAAGTCCTTAATGCGTAAATAAGAAATGTATCCTCTTTTTTTCAGCATCTTTTAAGATTAACAATATTGTACCCCATGCTAATGGTGATAGTAATAAAGTAAAATTGAAAGTAAGAATCAACAATCAAGGTATATTTGTAATACCGTCTGCCAGTATGTATGAGAAACTAGATCAAGATGAGGACAAAGATCAAGAGTCCATGGATGTTGATGATGAAGAAAAGAAAGCAGAAGAATCTAGCAGTGGAGAGACCATGAAATCTGATGACTCTCCTGAATCGGAGGTATGTTTAGTAGAGCTAGAAATTCAAAATTGGATTCTTTAATGGTATAGCTAATCATGTATTTATTACAATAGTTATAAGGTAACATGGGAGTGAAAACAGTAATACAGTACTTATATGTGTCCGTTCAATTGTAGGTACCAATGCAAACTGAAGCTCCCAATGATGTTGATGCCAAGGCTAAAGAAAATGACTCAACTAATGTGAATGGATCTGAAGGAAAAGTATAAACATTTGAGATATTAATCTTATCAGTTAACATGCAGTTTGAGACCTAAAACTAAAAAATTACAAATGAGTTAAAAGATAGAAATGGTTAGAGGTGGAGGTATTCTTAAAAAAAAAAAAAAAAGTAGTACTGCAGCCAACAATAAACTTCCTTGCACTAAAAGTGTGAAATGATGAAAGCTTTAATCCATTCTCTGAGAAACATTGATAATATGTTAATAAGATAAAAACTATTTTTATTATTAAAGGTTTTCTTTAATTAATATTAATGATGTTTTATTAATCAATATTATTATTATTATTATTAATGTTAGAAGTAGATCAACTTCTAAAGATGAGATTCTGGCTCTGATCACATGTGTCATTATTCATTGGTACTGTCTGAATTTTTGACAACATTTGTCATGTGTACATTCTTTCCTTTGGATTTCACATATAGAATTTTTATTTCTCTAGTTGATATTTGTTTGACTTCTGTTACATTCTACGGCACTAAATGTCAGTCAGACATGCCTGAATGTGGACTTGACAGTCAGTAAACACATGAAGAACAGACTATTTATTGTTATTGTGTGTATTGACAGGAAGAAGAGAAGAAGGTAAAGAAAGCTAAGAAGACAACACGTAGTATAGATTTACCAATAGAATCTAGCTTTTTACAACTACCCAAACACCAACTTACAGCACATACTGATTCTGAGGTATTTATCATTATATAATATGGCTATTTCTATCAAGATTCATTCTGCTGTTTGGATCATTGATATTTAGGTTTTTTTATTTTCCAAAGATCCAGTTTTCAAGATGTCTCAACCAATAATCAGAGGTGTTCCTTTTTGATTTTTCATTTTCATTAATTTCATGAAATAGTTCCTCCTTTAGCAAAAGGGGTGTCAATGAACACTTAAATTAAAGGAGCCAGGTCACGTATTCTTGGCGCTAGGATGTCTTAGGTTTTTATCTTCTGACATTGATTCTAGGACATCTTAGTGCTAAGATCATTTCGAGAATACATGGCCAGAACTTCATGCCTTATTCAAATCAATCTCCCCATCCAACACCTGGAAAGTCAAGACTGAGAGAAACTACCTACATACATTGCAAACCAAAATTTTAATGTGCAATTGAAACCCAGTCTGTAGTAGTAGTGATGTATTTAAATGTGTCTGTGTATTTTAGTTAAAGTTTAATAATCAAGACAAGCTAGAGAAAGAAAGATTAGATGCTAAGAATGCTGTAGAAGAATATGTTTATGATATGAGAGATAAATTAGGTGGAATTTATGAACAATATGCTACAGAAGATGTAAGTAGACATTGTCTCGACTCTCTGTAGTCTAATTCTTGAATGTAAACTCTAACAGATCAGCACCCCTCATCGAAAAAGAAAACTTTTCTACTGGGTTTGTAAAGTCAGAACCCCTTTCCATATAGTCCATGTAGCTAATAATTCTAATTTGATGTGATGATTTTATCTTTTTACACTGATTAATAATGATGAGGTCCCACTAGTTCAATAGCTTTTGTGGTTTGAATTCACATCACATGGCATGCGAAACTTCAGTTAGGGATATTAGTACTGTACAAGTTAGTAGAGTGGTATATTTTTATGACTATTTTGTATTTAGGATCGAAATGCATTAACACTGAATTTAGAAGATACAGAGAACTGGTTATATGAAGATGGAGAAGATGTGAATAAAGAAGCCTATGTTGATAAATTGAAAGAAATCAAGGTTTGTTGTGTTGTCTTTATGTTATAGATGTCAAAGGTCATTGTTTGCCATTTTCTGGAGTTAATTTTTGTCTTGAATATATGTAAGTAGTGTACAGAAGTAATAGAACTGCATGAAAATTGCATAATCCCTTCAAATTTACTTCAAACCAAAAATTTCCATTTCTATTTCTTTATATGTCTTTATAAAGTCGCTGTGAACACTATCGCTGATAAGCTTAGCCAGCTTCTGAGACTAAGGTACAATTGGTCTAACGAATGGTGAACATGTCCCTTTTAAGAATAAAGTTAATAGGTATTGTTCTGCTATTTGATTCACATTTATTTAATGGTATATGAAGTTGGCATATTAATTAGATGAAGCTGTCTAGCAAACTTAGCTAGACAAAACCTGAAAATAACCCTAAATCAACCCCACCAAAACTATTCTATTTCTCTCTTTATAGAATAAAGGTGATCCTATTAAAACAAGATATCAAGAAGCCCAAGTAAGACCAGCAGTATTTGATGAATTAGGCAAGAGTATTCTACAGTATAGAAAATTCCTAGATGAATGGGCCAAGAAGGTAAGTACAACCAGACTTTGTTGTTTGTTCTTTTAAAATTACTTGACAGAAAAATATAATGACAAGCATTCAAATAGATACTTGGGTGGTTAAATTGTCAGGCCATTTCCATTTAGCTTTTTAGCATAATATGATTTTTGGAGACACATTTTGTCCAACATCTTTCTTCAATAAATTAATTATCATTTTAGAATATCATTTCCTACCCAGAAATTTCGAGCGAAAATTTCTCACATATGGCTGAATGTTGAGTTCTAAAACTTCGAATTTCACAATATTTTCTCATAGATGTCAAATACAAGTCAATCTAAGAAGTTTTAAAACTGATATTCCAATTAACATTAAAAAAATCAGAATAAAATTTGAATAAGCAAGAAAAACATTAAGGCAGTAGTAATTCCAGACCAGAGTTATGATAATGTTAAGTTTTTCTGGAATTAAGAGAGTTAGACTCAGAATGGAGTCTCTAATGCACATTCAAACGTCAGAAACTTCATTTTCTTTTTTTTTTTTAAATAGAAATGCACCTTTTTTATACATATATAGACATATTTTTTGAATTATTTGTAATATACTACTTGTTAACAGGATGAGAAGTATGACCATATTGATAAAGCTGATGTAGATAAAGTTGATAAATGTGCTAGAGATAAAATGGACTGGTATGAAAAACATCTCAATTTACAGAAACAAACTCCATTACATCAAGATCCACCCATCTCATCTCATGAAATCAATGAACAAAGAAAGGTATAGTTGTTTTGATATTCTTGAATTCTTTGTTCAAATGTTCTTTTTGCTTCTGTCTTGCCTTGTCTGACCCTGGTATAGTATTCATTTCCTTTTCTGACGCTGGTATAGTATTTATTTCCTTGTCTGACCCCAGTATTCATTTCCTTGTCTGACCCTGGTATAGTATTCATTTCCTTGTCTGACCCTGGTATAGTATTCATTTCCTTGTCTGACCCTGGTATAGTATTTATTTCCTTGCCTGACCCTAGTATTCATTTCCTTGTCTGACCCTGGTATAGTATTTATTTCCTTTTTCTGACCCTGGTAGTTATTTCCTTGTCTGACCCTGGTATTCATTTCCTTGTCTGACCCTGGTATTCATTTCCTTGTCAGACCCTGACATTCATTGCTTTGTCTGACCCTGGTATTCATTGCTTTGTCTGACCCTAATATTCATTGCCTTGTCTGACCCTGTTCTGCTATCTTTTGAGGGAAAGTATCTTGTGTATGTTGTCTCACTGTGTTTTGTTGTTTCAGGCTCTGGATGCAGTATGTAAATCTATTGTAAATAAACCAAAACCAAAAGTAGAACCTCCAAAAGAGGAGAAAAAGGAAGAGAAAAAAGATGATGCGAAAAATGGAGCTGGTGATAAAGGAACATCAGAAGCCAATGACTCTACCAAACCTCCAAATCCTAATGCCACACCCGATATGGAAGTTGATTAATGATACATGTTTATATATAGTAAATTATTATAATTTTTATGGGCTATATAGACTGGCATCATTATATATGATACATCAACATATTTGATGTTCCCGTTCATTCTCTAACATTGTTGCTAGCCCAGCTGAAAATTGTGCAGTGACATTAATGGCGAGGGACCAAATAATTGATAACAATACAATCTTCATGCCTAATTGTTATATAATAGCTGAACAAATTATGCATCATATGTACTTCTTGACAAATTTCAGCACATATTGTAAAGCATTAGAAAATAATTTTAAAGCCCTCTATTTATTGTTATATGTTTGTCCTTTCATGGATTGTAAAAATTTGAAGCTAGACAGTCGAGATTTGCTGGCGATGTTAGTATCTTTGTATTATAGCCATCATTATCATGACTGAATATTTGTTGTTAGTTGTTAACTATCATAGAACTGTCACATTTATATCTTGTGTATAAAATAAAATTTTGAATTATGTTGAAACATGCTACATTTTTAGATGCAAACCTTCTGTGGTTTCATGTACTATTTATGCAATGGAAGCCACAAATTTGCAGAGTGTATAAATATTGGTGAGATCTGATGATCATTTCCCAGTCTTCCTCAGCCCACCTTTATACTAGTGTTACGATGAATCAAAATTGCTGTTAAATTTTGCTGTGTGATTTGTTTGTTTTTATACGCCCACATCTCTCTATGTGGACGTATATTGTCGGCACCCCCGTCCGTCCGTCCGTCAGTCAACATTTGCTTGTAAAAGCTCTAAAAAATAGATTTTTTGATGGAATCAAATGAAATTCGGTATGTGTATACATATTCATAAAACAAAGATCAAGTTCGTATTTGAACTATTTTCGACTGTTAGAAGCAGAGTTATTGCCCTTGCCCCAAAATCTTGAATATGCTATTACTCTCTTAGTTTTCAACCGATTTTGATGAAACTTAAAATGGATGTTATTGGACTAAAATCGAAAGGTTTAAGAAAGTTTAGTTTACTTCTGATTAAATTTAAGGCTTTTTCAAAATTAAAGCCTCTTACGTCAGTTTTGAGGGGTTATCGTAAGTGCTTCTATCAACATCATTTGGTTGTAAACGCTCTAAAAACTAGATTTTTTGATGGAATCAAATGAAATTCGGTATGTGTAGACATATTCTTAAAACGAAGATTTTAAGCCTTAAGAAGCAGAGTTATTGCCCTTGCCCCAAAATCTTGAATATTTACCATCCGCATGCCGCGGTGGGCGTATATGGCTGTGGTCCACTATCTTTATGACTACTACTACTGCAAAAGTTATTGTGTGAATGTATCAAGATTCTATTGCATTATGGATTAATTAAAACTCTTCATTCCTATCAACTTTAAAGACCATTTTTCAGAAATTTTACGCTTATAAATACATTTTATTTAGTTGAAAAATCGACCTGTAACACTTATTCATGAAAAATTAAAGAATTTTGAATAGTGTATCTTCGGGTGAAATTTCCTTTCACACAAATTCACCTAAATGCCTTAAAACCATTGCAAGTGTTTTATGCCAATTTCACATGCTCTAATGGAGGAGATCTAATTTGGGCTATTTCTCACAATTAAGATGCAAAAAAGCCAAACTTGAATGTCTTTGTTTAAGCCCTTGACTAGTTGTAAAGGGTTAATTCATTTGAAAACAATATTGGACATGATTTATAAACCGTTTCTATTTAAAGGTATATTTGTGCCATTTTATTTTAATCGTACCTTAGTCTCAGTAACGGGATTTATTTTTTTAACCAATCAGCAATAGTGATCATAACTCACCATCGAAATTTGAGCCTTCAAATCCATCTGTGTCCAGAAGATATTGACGAGTCGTCTTTTCTTGAGAAAATGTTATATTTTTGTGATATTTGACACTCAAATATGTTTGTCTCCGACTCGAATCTTTAGTAAAATCTCGCGCATGCCCGTGCTTCCACGAAAAGATTATCGTGTCGCCGACAGGATTTATAATATCTAGTTTGATAATGTCTCTGAAAATTTTATCGTCTGCAAAACAGGCCGATCAAATTCCTTTTCCTTTCAATTGCATGCTCCGCACATGAATATCGACAAGGTGAAAAGGGACCGACTGGAGATTTCAGTGCCCGTGCCAGTCGTTGAAACTCAAAACATGACTCTAATCGGCGACAAAAGTCTCCGACCAAGACCGCTCGTGTGTCCGTACCTTTAGAATGAACGTAAAGTTTGAAAATTTTAAACTTGGCCAAAGAGACCATATATTCATCAGTAGATATACCTGGTGTCATAAATAATATAACAGGATCCTTATATAATCCGATAAATCCTTAAAGCTTATAGTAATTATCCATAAAATATGCAATTAACGCATAATATTAAGATTAAGCATTTTTCAATAATTACTAAGTTTTATGAATTTTCCAGATTTTTCAGGGATTTTGTTGCAGCTTTATGACACAAGGTAAGTGATGAATATTTACTTATATTGACTATTCTTGAGAACCTAAATTTAAGACGTAGTATCACTTTAAAATGTGGACATGAATTTGAAACACTGTTTATATTATGCTTATTTGATTGGTTTGTTGAGATGTGTTGTTTATTTGAACCAATATATAATTGAAGTGATTTATTTGCAACAGACTCCTTGATGCTGTATGAGATGCATAGAAAGAAAGAGGCTTGTCCATAAAAGATTTCAATACCCTTATGATCGTTTTCATTAAGCATAGACCTACTGCTGGTAACTCTGTAAATTGTTGTTGTTTATCATGATAATGAACACAATTACTGAGTAGTTTTGGTAGTGGAATTCATAATATATTATGTTACAAGGTTAACAGAATTTTGTATTTGATTATACACATCACATATTTGTGAGGTAATCCTGTAGGCGGGTAAAGATAGGCCAGAGAGGAGGGGGGGGGGGGGGATACAAAATATACTTATTGTATCGATAAACAATATCACATAATGCAGAAAGTAACTTTTATTTTGTATTTTATCATATGTGTGATTTGTTCTGTTTGTGTATTTGATACACAACACGTGATTTGGTTAACCATAGCAGCATAGGCCTACTGAGGTTTTCTGTTGTCTATTTCATATTCAATATGCTGTAATATATGTGTCTAATGGTCTATACCGAAAGATCTGTCTCTATTTTCGCCTCTGATAGTTATTTGGACAGATATCTGGCCCTGTAAAATGAAGAATTTCCACATCTCCTCAGGTGCGGGTGTTTTAAATCCAGATATATTTGGAAAGATGAATATTTTTGTAGATGCCATACCATCATTTTTCCCAACACAATTTATGTCACGTCTGCGGTTCCACCTAAGTATTTTTTTAACCAAAGTGATCTTGCATCGGCCATTTAAAAATGCGTGTGCATCCAAAAGTTCAAAGGTCACAGAATCAGGTGATACTAAAACATCAAAAGATACAGTGATGCCCAACACTAATTTACAGTCTTCGTAATGGAAATTTAATCTTATATTAGAAATCTTCGGAGGTGTGGAAAATCCCCATTTAACAGGTTATATATTTTTTCTGACTCTACTCTTCTTCTGGCAACCGTCACCAGAGGCTGGAATAGAGGCAGATTAATCGGACTCAATGACATAGATCTACAAGCATACATTATCTTTCATAAGAACTACAGTAAAGATCTAAACGTAGAAAGATTTAAACATAAATGAAAAAATCTGATTAATTATATAAAGTAGACCTTTTAGAATTTTGCACATTGTAAACATACCCATTCTAAGGAAAGGTATTTGAAAATTGTGTCCAAATTTGGTGGTTGTTTTAAAATATAGAAATGTAAACATCTTTTAGGAGCAGTATGCAAGATTTTCATTATCAAAAACGTCGTGATTTTGCCGCCTCATTTACGAAGCTATTTGTAAAAAACACTGATTCCTATACTTCTTCTAATTGACTTCTTATACTCCTATGCCTTCTCCAGTCTACCTTGTAGGCTAGATTAGATACTACAATGGACTTGCCTTCATCAACATCTGAAATATTTAGGTTTTCACAACGATAGGCTACGTCTTGCAGTGGAGGGGCAGAAACCGTTTTGGCGCCCCCTCAGAAAACTTCACCCTTCGGCAATCGATCTAAATAAAGCATTCAAACCTCATTTTAGGCAATGATGCAAAACCCGATAAAGAATTTTACTACTTAATGGTAGGGGAAAGGTGGGTAAACTGGGCCATCAGATGTTCAATGACTTATGATAAAGTCCTTTCCATTCGCTACTCAAAACGAGGCCTTAGTCACGTGTTTTTTGGGCGTCGAAGCTAAATGAAAGTCAGAGGAAATAACTTTTTCCACTTTCTGAAGTTGCTATTTTGGAACATGGAATTAAGGGCATACAAAGTATACTATTGTCGAAATATTTGATCTTAATTCAGGACGATTCCCTTCTTTGGATGTCAAATGTCTTCAGATGATATGAAATGAACACTTGCTACACTAAATAATATAGATGTGTTAAATTAAAAGGATATTCCACTTTTTGTAAAAATAAATTCATTATCAAAAATGAAGTAACTATACCTGAAATTATTTCTAAAGTAATTTTATACGCACACGTCTCTCTATGTGGACGTATATTGTCGGCACCCCTGTCCGTCCGTCCGTCAACATTTGCTTGTAAACGCTCTAAAAACTAGTTTTTTGATGGAATCAAATGAAATTCGGTATGTGTATACATATTCATAAAACGAAGATCAAGTTTGAATTTGAACTGTTTTCGACCGTTGGAAGCAGAGTTATTGCCCTTGCCCCAAAATCTTGAATATGCTATTCCTCTCTTAGTTTTCAACCCATTTTGATGAAACTTAAAATGAATGTTATTGGACCTAAATCGAAAGGTTTGAGAAAGTTTAGTTACTTTCGTATTAAATTTAAGGCTTTTTCAAGATTTAGGCCTCTTACGTCAGTTTTGAGGAGTTATCACCCTTTAACCTCTTTACAGTAAGTGCTTCTA